CTAAGGGGCATTTTCATGTAAACCTCACAACCCCGACATTCTCGGTCACTCAGTTATGTAAATCTCATACATACTGCGATCACTCAAGCAGGATCATGACAACATCTTTACTGGGAAACCCACATTGCTGGCCAACAGGTGCAGTGATAACTACTGCACTATCCATGTACGCCCTAGTAACAATCTTGATGATGGTGTTATGGGTGTTGAAACGGCTGCTCACACGCAGGCCAAACGTAGCATCTAATCCCGAGACAAACATCGTACTTGATAGCTTCAACCCCAACCCATTAGGCCTATCCAACACGATAGTCATAGTGTTAGCCCTATCATCCATGATTAGCACAGCAGCATCATGCCAACATGGGTACATGCGACATACGGTCGAAGTAACTTGTCAAAACCAAGACTGTTCCTATGAATACAATGAGGAAATACTCTTTAATCGCCTACAGAAGCGTCTTTGTATCAGCATAAGGCACGCAAATCAAACCTTGGGTACAATCAAAATCACGAAAAAGGAGATGATTATGAAATGTTCCAAGCAGGGTCAAGCGTGTTGATGCGATCCGGGACCCTCATTTACGACCCCCCCCCCCTTGTAGGTATCCATGCGTACGACCCCCCTTCCTCTCCCCCCCCCCCCCCCCACCCTCCCTCATTTATCCTCCTTACCTCCCCTGCCCACATTCCTCGCGGTGACCTGCATAAACGAATGTCAATCTCAAAAAACACCTGCGTGAGAACTTCAGTGAGGTATCTGAAGCAGAATATCTAGAAAAATGGGTGCGTCCAGCATCTGTAGCACACATACACACCTTCAATAATGTTTGAGAATCTGCAAGTTTTTTTTTTTGAATTTTCAGGCTATACTTCAGACCAGCAAATTCGGTTCCCGTAGGCGACACAAATTTTTGCACGGAGAAAAAATGACATTCTTGAATTACAAAAGATGTTTTCGACTAAGAAGCTTACTTCCTACCTCTTCCACAGTTTTTCCCGCGAAAATAACCGCTTGAGCGCCATCCAGAACGACGTCAAAAACGTGCATGAGCACGGTAGTTTGAAAATTCGTAACTAAGGCCAGGAAAAAACTGAGAGGCTGCAAAACACAGGTTCTGTAGCATAGTGCCCAGACTAACCACAGAAAAAGTTTCAGCTTTTGAGGAGCAGTAAGCTCGAAAAAATTTAGATGCGACTCTCGCAAATTTAGATGCGATCCTAAAAAGCAAAAACTGGGATTTTTGAGCTTAAAATTTTATAACTTACCAGAGAAGTTATAAAACTGCCTGCAATTTTTATGAGGGAAAGTAGGAGGATGGCCTCATATTACAGCAGAATTGCAGCCAACAAGCTTCAATAGCTCCGAAGAACTTTAGATGCGACCCAGATACGACCCCCCTTTCCTGATTTTTTGCTACCATACATAAAATTATAAGAAAATCCACAGTTGACAAAATAACACCAAATTCTGCACTGATGTAGCGGAGCATCTTTAAAGTACAGATAAATCATGTGGGCCCGTGAAAAACATTATAAAAAGATTTAGAAATTAATGATGGTCACAGCTGGTAAAGATATTCGCTTTTGTCGAGTGTGTGAGACTTCAGGAGGGCTTCAGAAGCAAGATTTCTAGGGCAATCTGTACATTTAGCATTTTTATCAAATCATACATCCTTCAAAAGTGTCTTGAGCTCTTGTAAATGTTTTTTTTTTTGAGAATTTCTACAAATTTTTTATCTTTTTTTTTCTGATTTACACTTTTTTATAGATTTATTGTGAAGAACACATCTGCTTTTCGATTCCCTTTTAAGCTTAGGATATTTTAGCCTAACTGCCTTCTCTTACGACCCCCCCCCCACCTTAGATACCCTTTTTACGACCCCCCGTTGCGACAGTCGCATCACAAGCTTGACCCTGGTTCCAAGCTGTCCCATTTCTATACGCGAGATACCACACATCGAATATTCTACACTACTAGGTGTGATGGAGCAGGGTCATGTTTCAATAATAACTGCAACACCCTCATGCACAATGAAACAATCCCAGAACTAGAATTCGCTTCGGAATTTCCAGGCTATTCCGCCTGCGAGCACACATGCGGCGGGTTGCTTTGCGGGTGTTTTCTTATCACACCGGCATGCTCCTATATTCGCGTAGCGCACATCCCAAAAGATAATAAAATCTACGATGTCATCAGCTGCGTGGAATGGACCCCGGAGATCAGCTTGGAGTTGGACATGAATATTGGGGGTACAGCATTAAGCAAAGATGTGGTATTACAACCCTATCTACCGCTGCAGCTTGAGCAGATCACTCTTAATATCATCTCGCTAAGCAAGCCGCACTCTATGCTAATGGATAAGCGTTTCGCAATTGCTGAATCGGCAGGCTCCCGATAGAACTGTTTGCCCAGCTCCCCTGCTATAAAAGCAGGGGGCTGGGAGTGATAAGCATGTCTCTTTCGCATCCATCAATTTGCACCTGGTCCGGGTAAAAAGGACGTCATTGTTGTTATATTATTGCTATATTCCCGAATAAATCCTTTTGTAAAAGTCTGAACCACCGTTTGGCACACCATTCGCAAAACCCAGAGAACATTGCGAACGTGGAAGCTTGTGCATCTTCCAACCTTTCAATGCTTCAGAGAATACAAGCAGGTAGGAATAGTATTGATCAATGACCGGACCTGAGGTTTCTACTGTTGAGCAGTACATCTGTCTTTACAGCTCAAGACATGAAGTGATCAAAGGAAGTTAACGAGAAATATGCACTTACAAATAATTCTATGACTAGGAGACTCGAGCAGTTTAGACCTGCTCTTTCTTGTTTCCAAGTGGCAGTCAATCCTAGATGAATTAGGCCACAAATGTTAACTTGTTAAATTCACGTTAAACTTACTAATTACATGATAAAGTTTATTAGAAATTGTGTGCAAAGCGGCCACAAATTTCCTTGTCGTAGAACGGATTTTGAAAAAAGTGCTAGAATTGGAGAAGAATGAGGATCTATGGTACCTTAGACACGTGCCTAATAAAGAAATAACCATATAAGTGACAAAAAACATTATAAGTAAATCACAAGGAACCCTTGTAAACAAGGAAATGTCCATCCAGGCAGTCAATAACGGAATTTTCACTCGGTCAGTGATAGAATTTGACCTACTGCCATAGCGTTTTAGCTGCAGTTCTCAGCGTTGTTTAGTCCCTCACCAAATTTTTTCTTTGTTCTAATAGCGTTTTTTTCCAGAAATTCTTAGGTCGAACATATCGATCCAAATTTACATATCGATAAATAAGAATTATCGAACTTCTATGCATTCCTTTCTACTTTCCAAAGAAGGCTTGTACATTTTTTATCCCGTCTGAAGGTAGGAACGAAGTGGAATCAGACAAATCTGTTCTGTGTGCACATTTTCTGGACAAGTACCACTTATCAGTGGCGGTCAGACGGAGCAAGGGCGCCCTCCCCCTTCTCGGAGAAGGTCGCGAAATCTTCAAAATTTACTTACATGGGTTGTAATATGGAACTGAATTGTTTCCCTTGTAATTAACTAAAATAATTTCTTAAATCTTTTAAAAATTCAAAATAGCCTCGTAAAAAAATTTTCGGGGCGGGTCCGCAAAAATCTTCAGAAGCATCGCAAAAAAACTTATCGGAGTGCGTGGCTAGAGCCACGCGCCCTCATTGAAGAAAGTTTTTGCTGCCCCCCCCCCACCCAGACGGAAGTCGTGGGACCGCCACTGCTCATTATATAAAGCGAATCCATATCAGCTTCTGAATCCACCTATTCGTATCAAAACGCTATCCTCGTCAAGGTGTTTCCGATATACCATAGATTTCTGTGGAGTTTCATCATGGAAGGCAGAATCAAAATTTTGAGATGTTGAGATTCAGGCCCAGAAAGACATTCAAAGCATTCACAAAGGGTTTTCCATGTTTCTATTTCCTCTCTAGTCAAAGTTGACAATCATCGGAAGTTTGCGACATGACGTAGCGCTTCTGAAGCGAGCATGGGGCTTAAAGGCAGCGGCTCGGCAGAATGACAACTTTGGGAAATTCATTGTTCTCGCTTCTCCTGGATGAGCTAAGTCCAAGACTGTGCTTTGTAGCTTCAAAGATATCAATAACCCGCTTTTCCAGACGTGAAAAGCGCTATATGAGGGTGGACCACGTATCTGCCCTCTAGAGCGCGATTGGCTCGTGAGTGGAGATACTGTACCCACCGTAACCACGAGCCAATCGCGCTCTAGAGGGCGGATATGCGGTCCGCCCTCAGATAGCGCTTCTCACATCTGGAAAAGCGGGTTATTAATATCTTTTGAAGCTGCAAAGCATAGTCTTGGACTTAGCTCATCCAGTGGAACCGAGAATGATAAATATCCCAAAGTTGTCATACTGGAAGCCGCTGCCTTTGAAAATACTACAGCAAGAAATCTGAATACGATGATATAAATACTATATGATATTTGCTCATTTATATTCTCTGACTTTCCACTTTAAGCCGCCGCTGATTTATGCCCAAATGTGTGAAGTGAAACCGTCTATAGTAGTTGACTTACTGCGTGGTAAACTTTCAACAATGCCAAAATCAGCAAGTATAAGTCTCCGGTTTATTTATCCAACAACAAGATTGGAGATGCTTTCTAAATAGTGCATAACACCAACAGAATTCGAGAATTTTACACATGCAATAAATGTAAGATAGGAAGATCGAATCATCTGCTAGTGCTAAATGAGATACTTCATGTACGATTCTACAAACCAAAACCAAAAATTCTCAAATTTAGGCATATAAATATAAATGAAAGATAATCTGAGCAAAAGATGCGCTGAGCAGATGTGACTGAAAACTTCGTGCAAGGCACAACAAAATAAATGCGAATTCTACAAGACCTTCAGTCGTCTACTCACAAATGATGTTATATTTACGACAAACAAGAAATAAACAAACAAAATCACCTCAAAAATAAACCTTGGCGCAAAGATCTTCCACACCATCAAATGTCTTCTGAGTATGCTGGCAGCTAAACACGAGAACAACGAAGAAATTGCAGAGGAGCCAACTAGTGAGAATAAAGACTCTCGAGAGGCAAATGTGTGAAGAGGCAATGCGAGAGGAATAAACACGGCAGAGACGGAAATATGCGACAATATCAAAAAAGCTGGAAGGGCACGAACAGGGAAATTGCCAGGAAGCCCTACAAAAGCGGCTTGCCAAGGAATTGCTGATAATGTGGGGGAATGTCCGGTGAGGTAGAAACCGAAGGGAATTAATATAGAGAGGAGCAGTGGAAGCACAGCTAAAGGGTGTATTTATGTTTACATCTGGAAATAAAAATGATCTTACCTTCACTGGTTAGGTGTATGGATCCATAGAGAATGATCAAAAAGGCTACCAAAGAAGGTTGCAGACCATCACCGAGCAAAAGTAGCAACGGCCAACACAATGCATGAACAAAACAGAGATAAACTGCACGATTGGGGCCGCTGCAATATAATATACCTTTACTGCATTGTGAATGTCAAATTCCTGCTATGTTCTGTATCTTGCGCGATAAAAAGATGGTGTCAATAAAGCAAAAATTGTTGTCAAAAAATAGTCATTCATATCATAGAAGTAAACTCACTTTTTTGTGCAGATACACATGAAGGCTGCAGCAGCGGACATCACATAGACACCCTAGTTAAGACAATTTTCAGGATATTCAATGACTAGAGCGGATACTCACAATTGCTAGAACGATTCCCATAAGTTGTATACGCTTTTGCATGGAATCATTATGAGGTACAAGCTGTATCAGATGGTAGAACGTGATAAATGCATGAACAGGCCATGACAGAGACCGAGCAATCTATATTAGCAGAACTTAGACATCATGCTTGGCTCTTATTGTTAAAAAACTCTTACTCTGACAGAGTTGGGAAGATTATCGGGTAGTATCCGGCTCATGAGATAGTTGAGCGAGTAGATGACACCCGTCGCCAATAAAAATCGCCAGAAAAGCGCATCAGCTGATAAGGTTACAATATGATTAACACATAGCCTAAATCAAAGCAAACTTACGAGACAAGGATGATATAGGCTCCAGTGGCATATACTGCTCGCAACCGATCTCTTCTTCTCTACATCGATGGAAGAGCGGTTCCATCCGAAGCAGCACGAGGGAAACTAACAAAACCCCCAAATCCCAAGCATTACATATTGATAGGATATGCATCAACAAGTTAGTATGCGCAACGACTTTGCGATGATGATCAATATATCCACTTGAAAAAAGAACTTCATGGAAGAAAAGGAAGATAGAAGAACTAAAAAACAAAAAATATACTCACTTCACTACTCTCGCTCCTGTGCTAACCAAAAGAATGCTCTGCGCCAAGAATCTCACAACCTCGGCCTCGCAGACCACGAAACTGTTCGACAAGAATGATGATGCATGAATAAAAACGCAAGCATGAGCAAACAGCCGTGGAAAAGATAGAAATCGCAGAGTCAGCAGGTCAGAAACAATGGAAATCAAAGAATGCAGAATGGACAATGGTAGGACAGCCTATAACTACCAAACTGAAATGAAATTCAAAGGAAAATAGACTTACCAGCAACAGAGGCACTGCCGGACTGTCATTTGATCCCCCAAATATGACAGATAGCTGCAGCAGCAGGCAACCGGATCTGATCACAGACTGTGCTGCCGATAAAGGACGAGACGAGAGAGTGTAAAGCAAAGCTTCCACAAACGATAACACTCCAAGTCTCATAAGTCCCAAGTCAAATTGGGTCCATGCTGCCCGAAGAGAAGCTTGTAAACGCTGCATTGTCCTAAATGCATTAAAGTCTGAGGATGAAGAAAGAAAGAAGGGTAAAGTCACAGTAAAAAAACCCTCGTTTTTCGTATCGGTTCGGCTCAATGATGCAAAATCAAAAAGCGAATATGAAGATTCAAGAAAATCAAAAAAGTCACAAAAAATGGTTGTACAGAATCTTACCTCAGCTGCTCTTCAGAATTGGCTGTGTCGTGTAATATGATCTCGGCAATTTCAAATGATGGATTGGCTGCGGCGTATGTGTTTGCAAACCTTGAACAAATTTTTAAAAAATTCCATCAAAATGATCAGGAATTTCTAACCTTCGCATTTGTTCATAATTCAAGGCGATAGCCTGTTTGGATAGATTTTGCGGAAATAGCGAGTCTATCACTATTCCCAGATTCGAAAAAGGGATGGGTAAACCGAGCAATAAGGAAAGTGTAGGCACAAGATCGATCTGTCGTAGACCTTCTTTCAATGGTGGAAATGTTCGCCCAGGTGAGAAAATCTGTAAATTTATAGCTTTGTCAAAAGAAATCCAGAAAGGCAAAAGGTACTCACAAGCAACCCTGCATTGATCTCATCATCGCTATCACCTCCATGATCGCCAGTAGATGTCATCCCATGATCTCCGAGCACAATAAGCAATTCATCGTTGAACAATTCATTTGCCGTTTCAAAAATAATTTCGTCCACCTAGAATGCTTAGAGATTTAGCTGTAACTGGGGACTCTTCTGAGCCACAAATTTGACTTAGAAGCTTGTATGAGGGAGCAACTGATGGGATAAGGTCGGGATTTTTTTGCTACATCTATATATGTCTTACACACTATCGTCTTTGGAGCAACACCACTTCTTTAGATCTCTTCCAGATAGTGAACCCGCACACAGAACGAAGTATTAAATACAAACGTGCAAGTACTATGAAAGGAGGTAATTAATAAGTACTCGCCTTTCTCAGCTGGTTAGTCATCTGTATATGATTGGGTCCATATTTGTGACCACAGTGATCTACGCCAAGCACATGCGCAACAATGAGATTAGCCGAAGGCTGCGAAATCATCTCGTCTCTAAGCAGTTCTAGAAACGAATCAATAATAATAAAGGCCGGCATGCTAGTGATAATACTGATCAACATCCAAATGATTCGGAGTATTTACGAGTGAAATGAATCAACAAAAAAGGTCACATGCCTTTTACAGCCGCATCGACAGTGGTGAGGTCGTTGATGTCAAAACTATCAAATGGATGGGCACGAGTAAACATGTTTGGGTATAGAGAAGTCCTAAAAATCAATCAAGGACTACTGGTAAGAAAGACTATCTTCCCCAGTCTCACCATGTATCATCTCCCATGAAAGTTACATTGAGGTTACTACTGCGGGCTTGAAAAAATATGTTGTCTTCGTTGATGTGAGCGCTTGGAGCAAAATTATCGCCCGCATCGATGAACGTGGGAAGCGTTCCTATAGATAAGGTAAAATGCATCATAATCTATGAACTATAATGATCAATTATGAATGGGGAAAACTAGCAAGTGAACCAATGGTCAAAACGTGAATGAGCTTATTCCATTATTATTAGATAATGCAAGCCAGCAGAACTGATGGAGAACTAGTAAAGGTGGAGAAGGCTTAAATTCCAAATTTTTGCTCAAAAAAAGCAAACCAGATCTTATAGTGCAAATCCAGAATAAATATAGTAGAAGGAAAAAGAAAATGAATCAAGACAAAGTTTTAGATCAAAACAAGTTGGCCAAAGAAAAGTCCAAAGGACTAAAAAAGAAACAAAAGAAGGAGTGAATAAACGCACCTGTGGTGATCGCTTTGATTCTTTGCAACGTGGTGGTAGGTGGATCCGCAAGAAATAAGCCGATTTGTGCCCCACGAGCCAGCAATTTTTTGACACCGGGCATGTGTCCGCGATAAAAAGATTTAGGAGCACTGTGTTCTAGCGGAATTAGAAAATCATAACGGAGAGCATCTACGAGGATAACCACAATCTGAAAAGGATAGTATAGCCGAATTCGACAAGAAAAAAACTGAACCCACCCTTTTGTATTGCCGCTGCATCCAACACTCTGACCGAGGTAGTTTAGCATCACTACATTTACTTCGCATATGTAGCTCCTTCCTTTTAAGAAGAAAGCCGCTTTGAAAGATTACAAGGGCAAACACGAAACTAAGTGAGAGTAAAAGTAACCGCATGGTGTCCTGAGGTAAAAGTTGAGAGGGGAGAGAAAGACTACTGGCTTCTTCACACAAGTGCTTCTAGTCGTGATCACTTGTGTATTCGTGATCTCCAAGGACTTCTTTGGCGCAGGCCAGCAGAGTGATCAGATCGCTTGCTCGCGACGGCAGTCGATAAGGTTGCTGTGATTTTGGGGTTTCAGTTGTTTGTGACTTATCTTTTTGTGAATCCTCCGCGTTACCGTTCTTGGCAGGTTCGGTTGTTGCAGCACTTCCTTCCTTCTCTTCAGCTTTCTTTTTACTATCCGCTTCCTTCTCTTCAGGCTTCTTTTTGTTATCCTCCTGCTTCTCCTTTGAAGTTTGCTTCTTTGAGCTTGCCTGTTTCGTCGGTGTTTCTTGAGTTTTGTTATCCTTCTTTGGAGTGGATACCTCTTTCTTTGGTGCTTCTTTCGATTCTTCAGCTTTCTTCACAGGCTGCTGCTTTTTCGACTTCGTTGGTGTGGATTTAGGGTCAGACTTTTTTTCTTCCTCGTTTGCCTTCTTCACTGGCTCTACTTTCTCTTTTTTCTGAGCTTGTAGCTTTTTCTGCTCCAAACTTTTGGGAGCTTGTGGCGAAGTTTTGCTTTTCTGAAACAAGATTCATAGAAAACAGGAAGTTTCGGTAGATCATAATGTGCTGCTTGTCAATGAAATGTCAACTTTAGATATTAAGTAAGCAAAATGTGAAGACAAACAAATATAAAAAATAAAAAAGAAGAAAGCCATAGTTAAATGAAGAGTCTCTACCTTTGCTCCACTTTTGCTCTCTTCTTCTCCACTATCGTGAACTTCCGATTCTGATTCTTTGGCTTTTCTTTTCTTTACAGCTGGACGAGGAGTCGATTTAACCTGAAACTGAAAAGATTATAAAAATAATTACATCCGTAGATCTAGATCACTACCTTGTCAGCTTTTGGTTTTGCAACCTTTTTTGGCTTCTCCTTTTCTCTCAGGCGTTCTTCCTCTAAACTTTGTCGCAATGCACGTTCAAGTTCGTGGCGGTCAAAGCTGAAGTGGAAAAATAAAGAGTGGACACCTCTCAGTACAAAATGATGCTGACTAAAATAGATGTTGTATTGATGAAATTATTGTATTACAGTGACTAGCCGGCTCCCCTCTTCACTGATAAGTCAAAAAGTAGCATTGATAGCATTGATATTTGGATTTGCAAAGGACGTAAAGAGTGATTCACAATCATCGTAAAAGGAGCGAGCTGTCCGCTATGACGAACCAAACTTGCTCTGATGCCCGTAGAGAGTGACATATTCTAACATTTTAAATAGAAAGGCGCTGTTACCATACTTGCATATTTATAGTTTCGGCGTGAGAAAAAAAAACAGTAGAAATTCTCTGGAGCTTCAATTACAACCATTCCCCCTGCTTACAAAACATTGTCGAGCAAGCAACAACTCAAGCCAACAAAAAAAAACTATCAAGTCAGACTTGTATTACAGTTGCCACGTTTTTGATATTGATTTACACGTACCCTTCTTCCGATGTGAGATCGATTCGCTGGCGCTTACTCCGCCTCGGCTCACCAGGGTGTTCGTCGCTATTCGCACCACCGCGCATGCAAACCTTTACAAATTGATTCGGTTTGAACGTATATCTCCCTAGTAAACTCCCACTGGAAATATTACAGCAGTAAGCTAAGGAACGTGCCTTGGATCAAATGCCACGCGAAAAAATCACTTTTTCAACCAACAAAACAGATTTATCAGCTATTTTCACAAAAGTAAGTACAAACAGAGAGAACTTAGAAACAATAGATAGTGAAGTATTCTAAGATAGCACACAATACTTGAGAAAAAAAGAGACCCTGAAAGACACATACGTTTTATTTCCACTCTAAGAGGAAACTGCGGCAAATTCTCAACAGATCACAAAGTGGCCCAAACAACTGAACGGTACTTGTGGAAGGACTAGAAACTAAATTACAATACAGGAATAATGAGAACAACAATAAATTAACGTAATTATTCGAACAAATCGATAAGTATGGGTATTCATCGACAATCATGAACAGTACACAACAAATGCAACTTAAGTTTGATTATTTGTGAATAAGAACAGTATACAGTTGAATATCAACAATCTAAGCAGCAAGAAAGTGTGAATCAAATCAAGCTAAGGATTCTGCCTCGTTGGAACGCTCAGATCTATGGCTACCAGGAGTTGAAGGGGTACTTGTACTCTGCTCTCGCATTCTTTGGATTTTCTTCATTTTTACCGCACTGAGTCCAGTTCGAATCTGCAAAAATTATCATAAATGAACGTAAGAAAATGGCGCATGGCACATGGCACCTAGTCTCTAGCCTGGTCTCCATGGCACATACTGAATACTATAATAAAGCCATAAACTCAGTATCAGAAAAAACGCTCTTTTGAAATGGGATTCATTTCCTACAGCCCTTGAAAGATTTATCAAAAATGATTACAGTAGTTATTATCAAAAATGATTACAGTAGTTACACCTCTAACTTTTCTATAACGCATAAATATTGAAAAGATTGAATAGGAAGGAGAAGTCCGCCGTACAGATGAATCGTGGTACTACATCGTAGAAAGATTTGCCAATAGGTACACGGAACTTAGACCAATGGAAAAGATAAAAAAACCTACCATGCGAGGCATTTTCTCTGGAGATTGTAAGTTTTTCGGCAGCTTCCACACTTGCAAGGGGGTATCGTTATCTACATTCAGCAGAGTGTGAGCTACAAAATAGATTGTCATGCAATGTAGTATCATACTGATCACAAATGATTACCAAGATGAGCAGCAGATGATGCTGTTACCACTCGTCTTGTGCGGTTTTGTTGCATTTTACCGTTTGGTGGAGTGACCACTTCTTCATCAAAAAGGCTAGTCCTTCTCAAGATTGGTTCACAGTATACCTATAAAAATTATAGTGCATGAGGAACTCATATTTGAAAGCAGATAGAATCATGACATACCTCATCCTCGTCTGCCTCTTTAATTTTATTGATTTCATCCACACGACGTTGAAATCTGAAATTGTACCCTCTAAACTATACCATTCACTTTCCTCCACAAATATCAGAAATAAATTCATTGTATATTCGCAGCGAAAGGGATTTTCTTATCTGATTTCATGAAAACGCAAATATCGACAAAAAACCGAAGCTCTAAATTATTAGTTTCTAAGATGATTATAAAATGCGCACCACTTGACCCTCTTTCTAACAGAATTTGTTTCTGAAATAAAATTGTTGAGGGAAAAACAGAACGAAAACTGAGTCAAATTGTTCGATCTGATCATTCATCTTGATTAGCAAGCAAATGTATTACTGTCAGAACACTTTGAGTACACCATGTATTTGTTGAGTGCATTTGACTGAATAACCCTTACACACAGCAGCCTAGAAGTGAGGAAAACAAAATAGATTCAAACCTAAGTAGCTGCTCTTTTCCAAGAATATCATCGATTCCAACGTTATTGTTGGGCGTTGCTGGAGCGATGGCTGGAGCTGAGGCTGACGACGTTAATCGACTTTTCTTTTCAGGAGGCTCTGTCGACTGAAACATGCAATTAGCCAATGATCAAAATAGGAATGAATACAACGAAAGTCTGAGTACATTTGGTTTGGAGTCCGTTGCACGCTTTGCTAAGTTATTCTGGGACGTGCTTGAACTTCGTAACACTCGCATGGGAACTTCTGCATCATTGCTCTTCGAGTCTTTGTTGACAGTATTAGCGAATTTACTTAGGAGGTTGGATTTTGCTCTCTGAGGACGTGGTGAAGGAGTGTGTAATCCGAGGAGAGATTCGCGTGTTGTCGGCACGATGCTTTGAGTGGCCTGAATTACGATTAAAATTTGAATCATGTTTTCTTGGTTATATACCTCAGCGCAATGAACTTCAAGTCATTGGAAAGCTATGATAAGATTATCAAATACAAACCAATTTTATTATTCAACTAATGAGGAGAGCCACCTGTATCATAGCCTTGCACGCTTTAGCCGACGCAATGGCAGCTGCACGAGGAATTTTGGCGCGTTCTTCGCTGATACGTACTAATTCAGTGAGCCTGGAATGACGTCGCTTCGGATTCCCGCATACTTTTGCCATGGGCGTAGCCTTCACCACCTGAACAACACTATTGAAAACGTCGTAATAAAAATGAAAGGCAGAGTCATATGACTGCCGCTCCGACAAAAAACCAATAACGATGACGCACTGAATGTGACAAACACAAAATGCTACGATAAAACTGATATTGCACAAAATAAAGTCTATATCAAAAGTGCGATAAATCAAAACAAAAGCCACCTCATTGTTCTCCTCCTTCACACGTTCTCGAAGCTTCTCCTCAGGAGTTTCTGGGATAGTGCGTGGAGCATGCAACCGGCTGGATTTTCTCTGACTAGTTTCTGGAAGTGTATTACTGAGTGTTGTGCAGCGAGTAAGTTGTTTACTGACAAATCAATAGATGGGCATGCAGCGAGTCCCTTGTCGCCAATTATGTGCAGAGAAGGCATATAATCAGCATTCGCTAACGTGACTATTCACCACGTTCAAGTGCATTGGTCATCGCGCGCAACAACGATTTATTGCAATCATGAGCCCGCCACGGTTGTAAATTGTTGATCAGTGAACGTCATATGTGCGACTTGAACACCGCCCCGATAAGAGACGCAGATCGACCTTGAATGAGGGGTCGATAGGGCAGGCGTAGTTGACAGGCAGTGAATGACCGATTGAAAGCCAATGTGAGCGTGATTTCAATACTTTTTGGTCGGCAACATCATATTTTGAGTGCAACAAATTGGAAGAGTGCACACAAACGAAAATACAATGAAAGCATGGTACAAGCAAGCAAGGAAGCAATGGGAACAAACTTTCGGTGAAATTCCTATAATACCAACTCGAAGTTGCAAAGAGAGAAAAAAGTTGAAAATGAATCATATGTGGCAAAAGGCAAAGCGCAGCTTATTTTGGTGGCTTCTTTTTTTCAATGCATCAGCTCCTTATGAGAACTGTAAGCTTTCGAAAAAAAAGTATTGCACCAATTTCACCGTCAGATAATTTTATGAATTCATATAATTTAGACAGGCAAACAAAATGAGTGATAAACAAATGCTGGAGAGAGAAACACGAATACCACTGGCTGACAAAAGACAAAAAAATGTTGAAGCACGCGGATGCAATCTAGCGCCTTTGATTACTGGTTCACTAGTAAAATGAAAAAAATTATATGATAGAGGTTGAAAAACCTACTTCTTGGGGGTGATTCGGAAGTATTTTCTGTCTGTACTGGTGCACTTTCTACGTGTTGCTCTGCCTTTTTCTTTGCTCCCTTAGCCTTTCCATTTACTGGAGCTTCTTGTTCTTGTGGTTGAACTTCTTCAATCAACTGGTCAATTTGCTGGAGCTGGGCTGTAGTACCGGCTTTTTGATTGAAGAGTGGGAAAGAGAGATCATCATCCTGAAATCAAAGAATGAGGTTTGAACAACAATGATGATATGAAGATCAACACACTTTATTCCAAACAGAGTCGTACTCTTCCAGATCATGTGGGAGTTGAATGCACAGCTCATCAAAAATTTCTGCGACCAGTTTAGGTACCAGATGGACAAAACTTAAAATCAATTGATAACCTATTTTGCTCGAACTAATCAACAAAAAAAAAACATTTGGTGAGTTGGATAAGGTCATGAGTATACGTATACGCAAATCTTACTTATCAGCCACTTGTTCTTCCAAAAATGTCCGCATGCGACTGGGATTGGCCACAAAATATACAATGCGCATTTTCTTTACTATCTGAAATGCGGTGGAAGAATTCCGAAGAGGAGATGGGAACATGAAGGTACCAAGAACCGAACATACTTCTGGTAACCTGGATGAAGCGCTGGGATCAAGATAGCTGATGTACAATTCCAGGAGAATTTGCAATTGAGTTTCTCGTAAGCGGCGATCAGCATCACTTGCAGGAGAAGATTCATAGTGACTGTTCAGTTCTGCACAAGAGCGGACAACATGTGCTTTGAGAAAATCGCCCACCATTGTCTAGAGATGAAGATTTATGGCTTGAAATACTTACAAATCAAAAGAGTAAACGCACCTCAACTGCATTTCCAAAAGTATTCGTTACGAAAAACTTTTTCAACGAATTGGCAATGAGCTGATAACATTTTACTGGTTGCTCGTTGGCATCTAAAAGACCATCGTACCATTCCCCAAATACCGTAGGTAAATTCTCCTCGGTGCAGGCTGAAGCATCCTTTCAGAAAAATTCAAGAAGAGTAATGTCATTTCTGACCAAATACATGTGTTTCATCGGTTTCAGCAGCTTTCCGTCGAGCGGCCCGCAATTCAGTCAAACGACGAGCTTTAGTGCTTTGCTTCAAAGGTTTTGTCGATGAAGTAAGCTGTGATAATGACGATGCTGACGAGCTGTAGTGAACTGCACGGTCTAAATTCAAAAATTGGATGAGAGAAGGGCACAAAACTGCGTCTAGTTTGCTCCAAACTGGGTGATGGAATGGTTTTATGATGTTCTTTGTCACTCTTAGCAGCAAAATTGCGGTAGGAAAAGCGATATAATTTCATTCGTTCACATGGAGCGTTGTCAAACGGCAGAAAAATCATAGTCCCAACCAGTTCCTTCTGATAATACTTGTAAGAATCGATAAATATGTGGTCACAATAGCCATCGCTTTGAATCAGCATAAGGATCACGCTGCTTTCAGCATTAATTATGTACATCCCTATACCAATGATGTTATCCTTTATAGAAAATCGTAATACATGCAGGTATTAGGAGCCGCAAAAAAGTGCTGACTAGGCGGTTGAGAACACACTTGACTGCTCATGATGTTTTGCAAAAATTAGCAAGTTTGTTTACATCAACAGATTAGCACCTACTCTTCACAAGCAGTTTCTGAGGTTCTTCCTCGATTGAGAATTGGGACTGCGATCCCTCTGACGACTCACATCCTGACATCCGCGAGTCTTCGTCTTCAAACAATCCTGTAAAACATGGACGGCCCAATTCTGGCAAACATATAAGGCTATGAGAAACAGGGGTGCGAAGTAAGGAGAAACAATCAATGTAAAGACGAACGCGAGAAGCGGCGCAACGATAGACTACGCGAAATTGATAATGGAAGGAGAGAGACAATGGCCGAAGAAAAACTGCGAAGCGCCGCATCGTCGTTGCATTTCTCACGTCATATTTGCACAGAAGGGCTCGTTACAGCAACAAAGAATGAACAGCATAACAATACTGACATACAGTACAATTCCAATGTAAAAGGTACTGACCGAAATTCTGTTTTATAGGCTCAATTACAGTGTCCGATGCATTACCATTCGATGGCGCGCCACTGGGTGAGGCAGCGACAAAATGCGGGTTTGAAATCGATGACAGCTGAAAGATGCACATGACCCAAAAATACACAAAACTTCATATGTAAGACTATACCTCGCTTGAAACCATTTCTCTAAGCGCGTGAAAAGCCTCATTCGGTATGTCACTTCGTTTGATTTTACGAGGGCTGACCCTGAAATTCAAATTTTTGCGTACAGTTCATCAAGTTACCATCCAAACTGGCCTATAAACCATGACAGACAGATTCAACTTTATATCAGCAGAACATTATTTCATGAAAATGAAGATAAAAACATGTGCTGCATTCGGTAAGATCGTAACTAGATATCAATAAGTCCTAGCAAAATTTAAGAGCCTCTTCCCAAAATTCTGCAGTGCATTTTTAAAGTAAAAGAGCAGCGCTGAAAACATGTAGTACCGTACTTTGCCCATTTCTTTACTGTCCTGTCCTTGGCGCGTCTCTTCAATCAGGGTGAGTGCACTGCCGCAACTCTATGATTCTATAGAACCCAAACAAAAGGCTATATAGAAGTACTTGAAAATAGATGGCTCGAATAAATAGAGAATCACAAATGAAGTCCAACAAAATCAAAAAATTTTGCGAGGAAAAAGTTCTAAAAAATGTAGGGTAAAATGAAACTCACTTTTGAATCAGAGCAAAAGTAACGTCGGCGAACGAAGCTGGTGAGACTTCACCCATCCTAGCAAGGCGAGTGAAAGGCTGAGAATGCTGGGAACATTTGCAATTCGAAGAATATCAACTCTGCAAATGCTAACAATTTGAGCGATTTTGTAATTCAATAATAAACGCTTATCAATGTTGAATGGAAAAGAATGTCCTCGAGTTTTAATTTTGAAAAAATTTAGAGCAGTACATTTTTGAGAGACATCTCCCACAGTTTTGGAAACTTGTCTCAGTCGAAAACGCTGAAAAATTCCCTCTTTTGAAGAAATTCCTCAACATTTTCGATCGGAAAATTTCCAAAACTGTGGGAAAGGACCAGACATTGCAGGAACACAACAGAGAGGTGAGCGAAATGAACGTAGTGGCTACGTTTTCCCCGTTCTCAGCGTTCACAAACGATGTGGATCGATAGACGCGCAGAGAGACCTCAGCCTCCTACCGCCGCTGCCAGCGGAGTCTCCACGCCAATAGATTACCTTGCCAACCTTCAATAACAAGTGATAGTTCATGAGAGTTGTAAACGATTGAAATCATGCATTGAAGGGTTGTAAGGGCCACAATTTAATGAACCGTTTCACAAAATTGATTAATTATGCATTCGACAGACAATTTGGTCGTTTGCCAAAACATTTTCTGTCTGTTCAAAACTATTATAAACGAGACACATAGGTACTCGCAAAGCGGACATACGGGTTGAAAAAACTCGTTTTTGCCACAAAAACATGTTACGAACACTTACGCAAAAGAATCGGGCACATTTTGTCGTTTATGCTGCTAATTTCTCATAAACTGTCTCAAAGAGTCGGGCATACATCACGCGATTTCATCGCCTCGCGATGGGTAGGGGAACGAAAAGGATGTTGTGCGGAAGGCGACAATCCCCAGAGTTTGTTTTCAAAACCTTCGGTGCTAAAGTGACAAGGCGCCAAGGTAAGGGGGTGGAGGCAGATACATGAGTCGATGCCACAAGTGAAATCCTGCAAAAGTTAGTAGAAGTGATTTCAAGGGCCGGGCATACTTCACGCGATTTCAGTCGGACGCGATTTGGCAGTATTCCAACTGCCCATAACTCATTGTAAACATATTGCAAATGTGCAGAAGATAGGGCATATTATCAGTCCAAGTATGTCATACACACTATGCAGAGACGAACTGCACGCAACATCAAACACAGTTTAGGCAAATTTGTCATTTTTGGCCTCTACCATAAACCTACCGTAACTTCGTAAAAAGGCCTCAGGCTTTGGCCTCATCATGCGAAAAGAGTATGATCTTCATGATTAGCATGTCGAATAGCCCCTAAGCCAGTTTCAGCCAAATCTATGATGTTGACCCCACACCGTATACCTACCGTAATCCCACAGAAATGGTCCCTTCATTTTATATATAAAGCTGAATGTCTGTTTGTCTGTCTGTCTGTCTGTACTATGTCTGTCTGTCTGTATCATCGACTCCACGATTCCTGTAGAGGCGGGGTTTTGCCAACTCAAAGCGTGGCGGTTTTTGACAGCAAGAGAGTACGAAGAACAATGCTATGACGTGGAGGTTCAACAAGTTTACCTGTATTATCTGGCAAAGTCTGCAGTACACCTCTACACGAATCGTGGAGACGATCATATGTCTGTCTGTCTGTACAGGGCTTTACAACCTGAGTGTCACAGCCGCCCCGCTTGGTCGCCACGCTTAGGTCCGCGCAGCGTTCGTGGCGCACCAGCTGCGCGTCGACTGAAGCTTGGCAAAATGCGCAGTCGATGCGCCGCAAACGCCGCGCGCGGCCTGAGCGAGGCGGCCGCGTTGGAGGAGCCGCGCAAGCGGAGGCTGTGACTCTTATGTTGAAAAGCCCTGTACGTATGTTCCGAATAGAAAATTCCATTTCTGAACCGATCCGGACCAAACTTGGCACACGTACACTACGGGCCCCGGCGGGTGTCATAGGCTACTTTTCGTCATCGACCGATATCGATTTTATTGATTTTTTGCAAAATTTGAGCTACGGGGCTGGGAGTTGGCTCAGGGGTAATCGAGCGTGCTGATCATCCCCATGGGGGTGATCAGCATGCTCGATTACACCCCTCTGCCAAATTCCAGCCCCCTAGCTCAAATTTTGCAAAAAATCGATAAAATCGATATCGATCGATACGAAAAGTGGACTGTGACACCCGCCGGGGCCTGAAGTGTATGTGTGCCAAGTTTGGTCCGGATCAATTAAGAAATGGAATTTTCTATTCGGAACATGGCGGAGCCGCGTAAGGCCCCGGTCAGACTTCACGCGACTTAATCGTCGCGACCAAATCGCCAAGATTTCCATTCATTTTCATTTCACATTCAAAAATTTCGGTCTGGAAAAGTATCACAACCGAATGCAAGTTAATCTGCATGGAATGATGTTGTAACAGTTGTCTCCTCGCGATTCAGTCGCAACGATCAAATCGCGTGAAGTCTGCCCGGGGCCTAAGCCAGCTAGTGCAAAATAAAATCATTCTCGTGATCAGCATGTCACATGACCACTCTATGCAAAGTTAGTAAGATCCGAGATTTTGAATTTTTGGGTGCGTATTCTGGAATAGTACCAGTTTTACTTATGGCATCGAGTAAAATTTTCCTCGTAGCGCGCAGGCGGCGGGCCTTCAATCCATAGGCGGCGCGCACTGCACACACAGGCGGCGGGAAGGTACATCGCTCGCTGATTCAGTAAAGCTAATAGTATTGAATGCCAGCTGTCAAAGACAGCCTTATCTTGTAAATACTGTATTTTGTTGCAATTTGTGTTAAAACCTGTCAAATTTGAAAATTGTAGATATTATTCGTTAATAAAACAGTTGTGAAACCATATTGTCCAACAAGCATAAGATATTCAGACCGACAACAAAAATCCGAGCAGATTCCTGCTAAAATTTTCCTCGTAGCGCGCAGGCGGCGGGCCTTCAATCCATAGGCGGCGCGCACTGCACACACAGGCGGCGGGAAGGTACATCGCTCGCTGATTCAGTGCGCGCCGCCTGCGCGCAGATTTGTCTGAGTCTGCCCCCACCCCCACCAACCTGTCTTGGCGCCTATCACTGTAGCACGGAAGGGTCTTGAAAGGCACAAGTTTTGAGGATCGTTGCCTTCCGCACTACACCCGTGTGGTCGCATAAAATATTGGGCACAGTAAATCAATATTCTGCAAACACAAGCGGCGGCAAAGTCACAGATTCGAGTATGTGTGTGCTTTTCTGTCCTCTCTTCTTCATTCTTTTCTCTTTTGCTTATTTCTGCTAATTTCTGCGTTCAAACTACATTTCAACTACCATCGGCTCCTAGATTGGAGAGGGAGAGTAGGACGAGCGTAGCGATGCGGTTGTCTAGTGTTGAAACATAACAAATAGCGAGATTGACAGATGCCAATTTAACGGGTCGGATCATACAGATGACTGAGTTGGGGAATGCAAAGTAGTATAAACTTCGAGGGCGTCCAAGACTAGCCTGGTTCATGTTAGGTATCCACTAACCTAACAACAATTTTGCTTGACTTGTAATACAGGTGTACCTGGGACTAACCTAACAGTTTAGTCCCAGGTACACCTGTATTACAAGTCAAGCAGAATTTGAACGTCAAAAGACATTGCATTCGATTTATCTTTTAGGAAAGCAACCCATGAAGGGCAAATGGAAGTGGGACAGGTGAACAGGTAACGCTCGCGAAACCCAGTAATAGAAAACATCAAACAAAAAAGTTAGTGAACAGTAATATCAACGATCACGATCACATCCTAAACGGGATGAATCGCGACGATAAAATCGCGTTAAGGCCTTGCGCAGACTTCACGCGATTTCATCGCCGCGGTCTTCCAACGAGACAGACAGTAACAAGTCTATTGCATTCCGATCATCTTGCATTTCGTTGTGTTAATTAGTCACAACTGGTCTTGTTGGAGGACTACCACAACCGGAATGCAAGATGATCGGCATGCATAGACTCGTAACAGATTGTTCTGTTGGAAAAATCGCGGCGATGAAATCGCGTAAACTCTCCCGAGGCCTAAAAGTACCATCATTTATTATCGACTGATTCGGTCCGTGCAGAATGATGTTTGATAAGCTCGAGCAGCCTAGCAAGGAATCATGAACTATATTTTCGTAACGATTTATGGTGTATACGAAATCGCTACATCCTTACTACTATTCAGATGAAAAACGTAACAACAGCTCAACAACACGCAACAACAACAGTCAACAATAGTCGATGAATGCGGAAACAAATCAATCTATACAGCTATTTATATAATCTCCAAAAAAATGTTTCTATTACGACACACAACATTTAGCCATGATTACCTGAAGGAACGAAAGATTGAGTTTACTATCCATATATCCAATCGCCTGCTTCAAAGACTTAAGGTCCATTATGTAGCACATTCTCATCTCCTCCTCTTGCGTGACTTAGGTATCTCATTTGATGGTGGTCGAAGAAGACGTGCTGCTCGCAGTGATTCTGTCCTTGCAGCTTCCTCCACATTGCATTGAATTATTTCACATCCGAGACCCGTCAGCATCTAAAAAAACGTGCAACTCCTTTGTGCTCATCTGCTCAGCAACTTCAACATTTAATATGGCATATAGGTTTTTGGTTTATGCAGGAAGAAATATTGTGTACTTGGGTTGGCTGCATCCATCCTGTGCTTCGAAACATGTGGGAAAAAACTGGGTTTTTGAATATGAAGAGTTCAAAAGCGGGGTGTGAACAACTGACCAATCGCTGCTAGGATGAGTAAAGACTAAAAACTCCGCCCATCTGAATGGCCATTGGCTGGTTGGTTACAAGCAACGCATCCCAAAGATCTTTCATAACCAAAACTCTTTCTGCAAGCGAAATAGGTTTCAAATTCAGCGTAGCACGTGTAAGAACGTAAAATCTGAAGTCCGAAATCCAGTCGTTGCCTCTCAAGATAGAATCTCGGCGGGTGCCTGTTGTTCTTAGAACGTGTGGATGATGTATCAGCGGCTCCCAGATTTGTGTGGGGGCGGGTCGCGGACTTTCCCTGATTACAAGGATGAACGTGTTAATCCTCCACATTACCATTGTTTCTGCACTCTCTCATTGAGTTTATCCTCATAATCAGCAAAAGTGCCAACTCGCTCCCGCACATGGGAGTCACGCTTAGCACATCAAGCTTTAAAAAAAGAAAGAAAATCCAAGCCGAACATTTGCGAACACATGTTAAGGTATCGCGCAAGATAGCAAGGGCCTCACGGTTTACTTTCCTTCATGTTAAATATAACGATCTCGTTCTTTATCATATCCAATTCTAAATGAATCACACGGCTTATAAAGTTCAGTTTCCATCAATGATGAGATAATTAGAGGCAGTAAGTAGGTAAAATGCCAGCGGTCAAAAACTCTTTTCCAGTAGAAAGTATAGAAGAGCAATAAACTCAGCACCGACCTTCTCTAAAAAGCGAGGATTAGTCCTCAAAGCAACCTGCCATGGAGTGATCGGGAGCGAACACGCGGGACCTAAATTGTGTGTAATTCTGCCCAGTCTTCATAAGCACAGATTGTGTGAGAGGATGTATGCCGAAAAAGTTGAGGTTGAAGTTATAGGGCTCATCAAATTGAGTGTCGTTTGCACCAGCATCTCCATCTTCGCACTGGACTCTGCGTCTCTTCTGCGGCACATGTTCCCTAATCACTTCCAACCGAGTGAGGCTCCATCTTTCCCACGCTCGCCCTGGGAAAGTGCTTAGAGAGCAGCCCCGCGGAAGCGAGGCAGAGTCCAGCGCGAAGATGAAGATGCTGGTGCAAACGACACTCAATTTGATAAGCCCTATAAACTTACTCAGCGTAAGACCTAAAGCGAGTAGATGCGCCACAAGTTTATCCTTTTCTAATGAAGACACAGCTAAACGTGCAGCTTGTCGTCCATTCACTCCTCGATCAAACTGGGCAGCTGAAACGATAGCTATCTGACATAACAAAGATGCAAAAGATGTAAACTCACAGACGTATTCCGCCATCACTTTCTGAACAAATGCTTCAGGAAAAGGAATTTCTTCGAATTCCTTCTTCAGAATTGATTTCCTTGAGAACAACTGGAAAAGACTAGAAAAGATTGTAAGTAGAGGTGGAAGAGAAAGGGCACACTTACGGCAGACATATAAGTCATACAGCCCAGCAACGCGAACGGTACTCCCAAAGATGTATCTTTGAAGGCACTCAAAGGCATCATTTTCAAGACAACTTCAGGGAAACCTGACAACATTTTCTCATTAAAACCAAAACAAGAAGTCGACAGCTTCTTTTCAGCATCTACGATCATTATGTTGAACAGCAACATTTTTTTTTTTTGGAGAAAATCCCATTCTCCACTTCAGCTGTGCATGAGGCAATTTTTTTACCTTTCTCAACCAGTTGCTTCTTCGGGGTCGAAAGAAACTCAAGCGTTGCTTCGGCAAACTGAGTGATCTCCTCCGCCGATACAAACAGGGATAAGGGATAAATGTTACGAGGTAACTCAGCTTGTTGTGCATGTGGAAGAATTGCTGATTCGGGCTAGAAGAGAAATTCCAAAACAGGAAAAAAATATGCTTTAAAGACCAACCTTGGCAACCAAACTAATTTGCTCTTTCTTGATATCTTCCGGCTCAGCAAGTACACTGGTAGAAGCAAATGCAGTTTTTCTCATAGCATCTAATGTCTCCTGAAACAAAAAAAATTGATGATATCTTCAAAAAATGGTAGAAGATACCGTATTGATCTGTCGCCTAATTGCGGCCTCCTGAATCTTCATTTTCTTAGACGAACCAAAATCAGCCGTGAGATCCATACGTCTTTTTGCCCAATCCTCAGTCTTAATATCATAGCTGGCCCCATAGTCCACCGGAGGAGGCCTTCTTAAAAACTAATCATGTGGAATCCAAAAATCTACAAAGACATGCTCACTTTTCGCCAAGAAGTTGTCGAACATCGGAGGAATATGTTGCTTCGAAATCATATAGTCGGACAGGCTTGTATGTCACAGCTCCAGTTTCACGATCAACCATTGCCAGTGCATAATCATACCCTTCATCAAGGCTGGTCACCTCAGTTCCAACCTCGACAACATTTTCGCAAACCTGAATACGTCAAATTATCTGCGGGAACTACTAATTTCCAAGCAAGACTAATCAGCTCCCAATTCAACCAAATATACAAGACGATAAGCATTTTAATTCTTAATCAAATTAACAAAGCGCCTGTGAGATTGCCCAAAACTACGAGCACTTCATAGAAAATCCTCCTAGTTTTCTCTGATAACTTTTACTTATGCTGTGTGATGTAGGCGTGACCATAGGATCTGCTTTTATTTGCACCAAAACTATGATATTAGGTTGTAACAGAAGTCTTGAGACACTAAATTCTTACGGCGATTAGTCATGCAGTTCACATTTTCAAAAGGGGCCCAGGGCACCATTCAACAGAGCAAAGCAAACCCTAGGAGATGGTCTGCAAAAGTTTGCCCCAACTTCGACCCACTTTAAGTTTGCATCCTACATGTGAGTCGTACTGGAAGCTCAGAAAATCGCGAAAAATTCATACTTTCGTTTAGAAATTTCTACGAATTTCAACATGCAGAAATTGCAAACTACATCAGACACTCATATTTACCGTTCCTGAACTTCTCCCCCATATAGAAATCGAGAGAACGAAAATTTTCAACTTTTTACAAGAACGAAGATAAGCTGTTTCCACTCATGTAATTGTATACTATAATCCCTTAGAGGTACAACGTAAGTCAGTTTTCCACAAGCCCTAGTTTTTGAGAAATATTGATTTTAGCATGAGGCATTGAGCGAGGAGAGCTAAAATCAGTATTTCTCGAAAACTAGGGCCCGTGCAGAACTGAAAATCTAAAGTTATACTTCTGAGGCATTGTAGTATACAATGACATAAATGGAAACAGCTTAGCTTGGTTTTTGTTAAAACTTGAACAATTTCGTCTTCTCGATTCTAAATGAGGAAGAAATTCAGGAACGGTATATATTGAGTGTCTGATGTAGTGTGCAATTTTTGTGAGCAAGTTGGAAATTCATAGGATTTTTTTTTAATGAAGACAAAATTTTCGCGCTTTTCTGAGCCTTCAGTACGACTCAATTTTGGATGCAAACTTGAAGTGGGTCGAAGTTGGGCGAACTTTTGCTGACCATATTGTAGGGCTTGCTTGCTCTATCGAATGGTGCCCTGGACCCCTACTGAAAATCTGAACTGCATGATTATCACGGTAAGAAGATAGAGCGTCTCAAGACTTACAGTCTAGTACGTAGAACATCAATCAAACAATGATGGCTTCATAAATCTTATAAGGTTTTGAACTCACTTCATTCTCAACCGTGATAATAACCTCGCCTCTTCGATCATCCAACGGTCGATGTTCTCGAAACCGAAGCTGTTCTGGGTTAACAACATGATTATGGTTGAACGTAGCAACTATGTCAAGATCTCCTCGACCGATGACTGATTTGCGTTTCATTCGTTCGCGTTCTTTCCGACGCCGTTCTACTTCCGTTTTCTCCATCTGTGCAAAATAAAGGCATTAAGTATACTTAGTCACAACACCAATATCCATTTCATTTTCATCTAAAAAAGAAGTAAAAAAAGAAGTTTCATCTTACTGACAACAGTCACATGAGAGTCGCGCATAGGCTTCGCGTACATACAGGGTGTCCCAAAAAATTGTATCGAACGTTTGATCGTTAATATCTCTCTTCTAAAAAAGTCTTTTCCCTTGCTTCAGGTACCAATCTGTAGAGCTGGCTTCGACTTAGATTTGCACTATAGAACGAATCACTCATTACTTTTCATTACTGTAGGATTACGGTAGAAATTTCAAAGAGGGTTTTAAGCAATGAAAAGCCATATTTTGCCTTAAAAGGGATACAAAACAGCCTGAAAGCTTTTACACTGGGCTAATTAGACTTGCTGATTACAACTGTAAAGTTCCCAACTTATTATGATGCTTCAGAAGAGTTATGTCAGGTAAGAGGTAGCGGCCATTTTTTCATTGTTCCTAAAGAGTGCGATTACACCGTTTAGAAAGCTTCGTAATCTTGTGAATAGTTGAGTATTGAACTCAGCGTCCATAAAAACCCAATTACACAAGTTTTCACAATTTTTTGAAAAATTTTGAAACGGTAGCTTTTTCCACATTGACACCATATGTTTCAAGTTTCTACCGTAATCCTACAGTAATGAAGAGAGATGAGTGATTCGTTCTATAATGCAAATCTAAGTTGAAGCCAGCTCTACAAAACAATACTTGAAGCAAGGCAAAAGACTTCTTGTGAAGAGAGATATTAACGATCAAACGTTCGATACATTTTTTTTAGGACACCCTGTAGTACATCCGATTTCACCGCCCGCGATTCTCCCCACAAGACAACTGTTACGACTCCACTGCATGCCGATCATTTTCATTTCGATTGTGATAGTCAGTCGCGATTATCCTAATCATAAAATTCACTCGAGATGCAATATGGTCATAAAGCAAAAGACTCGCAAGATTTATCTTAAACTCGAAGCATGAGGTCGATGTTGTGTACCCACCCATATACGCGACTCAGGGCTCGGCACGAGCTGGCAATAGGGAAATTTCTAGATAAAGTCCCCTTTGATCTTGAAAATTTCGTACGAAGCTTTGACCTCAAACCCTAAACGTACAAAAAACCCCTAAAAACGAAACGTCGACTAAAAATACGTCGCAATTTCTGTTTTTTTTTTGGCCACAAAATATCCCCTTTGTTTTCTCTCCTGAAAAAGATATCCAGCTTGACCTGGTGCCAGGCCGAGCCTTGAGGCGACTTCTAGCTGGTAAGGAGTTTTAAAAATATCCTCGCAAAAAGAAAGAAAAACTGGAATGAAAGGACCGGCTAACAAGATGAGTGAAATCATACACATCTTTATAATACAGACGACAACATTTACAACAGATAAATGTAGTAATTTCATACAAACTTCATCTTTTTTTTAGTGTTTACCATCAGACTAACGAAAGAAAAGCGAAAACAATCCCAAATAAACTAGCTGGAAACAAAGAAAAAAATGTAGTGAAGGTATGGCACCCGTTTAGGTTTTCTTGGAAGTTTAGCAGCTTCATAAAGACAAACATAGAAAATGAAACGGCCGACAGCTCTGATCAGTGAAATTTTACTGAGTAGGCAAATGCACTATTTGCATGCCAGGAGGTAATTGACTGATATCGATATTTCCAGACGACGGAGCACCTTCAAAATGGCTGATCAATATATAGTTAGCGATACAGCAAAACGAAGAAGGAACCTTAAACTAACCTATAGGTATCGGTTGACCAATCGGAGTTGCATGCAGCACTTGGCCATTGTCCAAATGATAAACGTCGTTGCCTTGGGCAGCATCGCCAGCAAGAACATACTGAACTTGGGTTGCTGATCCTATTGTGCCATCCGAAGTAACGTTCATGGTGTGCATTTCATCCTAAACACATGCACAGATGATAATTTTGCGCAATGCAATAAATTCAGCAACTCACGTGCGACTTTTTCGCATCTTCGCGAGGGACGATGTCGATTAGAAAATCAAAGTGTTCGAATCTACTGGCTGCAGCAGCAATATCAGACTGAAAAGGAGAATCACTTAGAAAGTAAAATACAACAGATACATAACCATGCAAGTATTCTCTTATAATTTTTAGATAACAAACTGACAAATGTGGCGTACCTTTTGTAGTGTTTTCCTTCGCCCCTCTTCAACAAGCTGCCAAGCACGTAAGGTGATTTCTTGTATGAACATCTCCGATGCAGCGGCCAACAGTAAAGGAGCGTCAGAACTTATCATTTGAGCGCGAACTTCGTCATCTAAGCGCATTACCTTCTTGACTCTAGCCATGGGCAGTTCCATATGTTTGCAGTGCTCCCGCATCTCATTCTGAATGATACCAATTTATAAAAAAGACCAGAGAAGACAAAAAGTTCGAAGCTTGGTGCATCTAGAGGCTGTCTCAATATGAGTGTCCAAGCTACAGTGACTATGGTGTTACGGTTAGGCTTTCATAAAGCTAATTTATTGTGCCTGTCATTGTTTAGTATATTTATTTCTGTCCTGTTCATGCTATTCAGTGTATTCTAGTGTGGAATTTCTGTAGTTTGAGTACATAGTCTCATTTCCCAGGCCCAATGACTCATACTACACATGCCGTTCCGTACCTTGACTATGCGCGCCTACTTCGAAATCTCATTAAACTCCTTCTACTTTCACAGACAGTTTTATTCCTACTTAGCCGATAAACAGTCAGTTCGAAGTGGTGTTCCAGTAAATCAAAGGCGGTACCATCCGCGCATATCTAGGCGGTTCAAGCGACTCGGATCGTCGCGAGCGCCCAGGGCTCGGCACGAGGTGGCTAGATGAAAATGGAAAAAACGAAGTCCCCCTTGACTTTTGGGAATTTTTACGAAGTCCCCTTTGACCCTCAACCAAATTTCTTCTAAAAACCTGAAAAATTCCCCAAAATCCCCCAAAAAACGAAACGTCGACTAAAAAAAAAGGTCGCCGTCGCCAATTTTCCGTGTCTCTTCGGTCACAAAAACGAAACCCCCCTTTGCTTTTCGTCCCAAAAACGATATCCAGCTTGCTTGTAAGCCACCTCGTGCCGGCGGCGCCGCGTTATGGAGCAAAGGTACGCCGCATTTATCTGTGGTATATCCTGAGGGCCCTATGCGTTGCGTCGCTCCCAATTGCAGTCGCAGAGGAGCTAGCGCTATCAAACGGATTGCACCATTTTCTTCATTTTCCATAGATAAAAAGATCAAAATGTGAATGATAAACGCATTTCAAGGGCGAATCAATATAGAATATGACGAAGAAGTGTCTGCAAAGCAAGTCAAAAGAAAGTAAAAGATGAGGAAGTTAATTCTCTGAAGGAAAATTTCTATCCTTTTCCTCTACCAGTTCTCGTGTTCCACTTCTCTTGAAAACTTTTAACTCAAGTCCAGCAATGGATCATTCCAGGTTCAGCTTTGATTCATCCCTGCAATTCATCTATTTTTGAATTTTCTAAATTGCAGTCTTTTCTGTTTTCTTTATTGCATTTATAAAGTTTGAATATATCGATCATAGTGATAGGGAATGGCTTAATCCGCTGGCAGGAGCAGCACTCTCCTGCGCAATTAAAGACGACGAAACGCAATTGGCCCTCAGGATATACCGCAGGGAAATGCGGCGCAGCTTTGCTTCATAACGCTTGCCCCCCCCCCCTCGTGCCGAGCCCTGCGAGCGCCTCGTTAAGTCCCGCCCGCACCGCGTCAGCGGACGTATCCTCAGAGCACTTTCCCAGCCCGAGGCAAGAGACTAGACTCAGATGGGAGTGGGGACACGTTCGATGGATACTTCCACAAACGTGGCGCGCCGAGTGAGGCGGCCGCGCGGATAGCCGCTGGAGCACCGATTCCCACACTGAGACAGCCTGTATAATCGTTGCAAACCAATTTTCATATAGGGGCCTGCAGGATCGCGAGAGTCGGACGTGCGTACGGCCATCGCGCCGCGCACGTCCGATGTCACTAAGGCAGGTGCCAGACTCATCCGCTTCAGCCGGTTCGTTCGGTTCATAGGTCAAATCACTACACTGTCCAACAGCAAAGATGGTGAACCGAATGAACCTGCTCAACAGGGTAGGTCTGGCGCCTTCCTAGGCCGTCGGACGCACATCTGACGTGCGCGGCGCAATGGCCGTACGCACGTCCGACTCTCGCGATCCTGCAGGCCTCTATAATTGGCGTGTACAAAACCTTGGTCAAAAAATTTTGGCCTTTTAAGCTTTCATACCTCACTCATGTGCTCGATCCTTCGTATCTGACTTGGCCAAAAGTCTCGCACCATCTTTGTGACATCGTATAGAGGTCCAGGTCGTGGTGGCTGCCGTGCTGCTTGCATTGCTTGATCGACAATACTATGTCGAGGTATGCTGGGACTGGGCTCATCGGGTGATTTTACTTCCACCATTAGTTGCTCAGCATTACTCATCCTTCAAAACTGTAGTTACCAACGAAATCAAAAACAGAAGCGTAACGTCTTCTACCACTTCTTATAGCATTACATACAAGGAAGTCGCGAATGAATTTCTCAAATGTTAGCAAGACTGCCCGGGAGGCAGTGAATGATGGAGAAAACAACGGTAAATCATTTGGCAGTTTCGATCAACGGCCATAGCTTGTTGGCTCGAAGGTATAGGCTATTCAACTTACGCAGAGAAGGACTGTGGACGCTGTCGGCGTTTTGGAACGAGATGCTATCATTAGATGCGTTTCGTTTGGCTGAATTCAAACCCACTTTCGCACCTGCTGCGGGATTCAATGGAAGAAGTTATGAGCGTTCGAAGGTTCAAATATAGCAGACGTTCAGTAGCACTCCTTCAAAACCTAGCTATTCAAAAGCATTTACTAATGCTGGTCAGTGTGTGTACAGGGCTCCTAAATTGCAGAGTCGTTTGCACCAGCGGTCGCGCCACCGCGTCGCGCCCGGGCATTTTGCCGGCGCCGGCGCCATCGATCGAGGCGGCGCCATTGATGCCCTGGCGCGACGCGGTCGCGCGACCGCTGATGCAAACAACTCTGCAATTTAGGAGCCCTGTACTCTTTGTAGTATCAGATTTGTAGTATCGATCGAGGCGGCGCCATTGATGCCCTGGCGCGACGCGGTCGCGCGACCGCTGATGCAAACAACTCTGCAATTTAGGAGCCCTGTACTCTTTGTAGTATCAGCACACTCCACACCTTGCCAAGTATGCACTTATCAAGCTGATTTCAATGCACATTATGCTTTATAAAACCATATCGGATTGACACCTTCAAAGGCTTATAACTTCTTGCGAAGAAGCCCGTAGCAGATATGGAAGTTAAAGTTGAGTTCAGCTCATCAAGACCCATTCAATGATATGCATTTCATTCTAGTTCACCATTACGACTTGGGATCCTTCGCTTGTTGGATATGATGCACTTTCATCCCTCTAACCGTCTGCTTCCCAAACAAACCATACCATACCAGTTTTTAGGTAGGCTGGACGCTGTTCCGTTCCTGATCGAACGCAACAGCGTCCAGCCTGCCTAAAAACTGCCTATAACTTTCATGTATTGCGGTAATTCATTATTCTCAATAAGTTCTGTCTGAACTCTGCTTCGACTAAACAGCTTCGAGCTTGTTTCCCTTTTGCGAAAGGATGGGTAATCCATCGAACGCAGAGACTGGACGCGTCACATTAGATAGTTCACGTTTTGGTGAGAGATGGTTAGAAAAATAAGGGTGTTCAGTGAAACTGCGTCTGCAACTCGCTCATATAATAACTTGAAGTGCATCTGATCACCATCACAATTTTTGTCTTCGAGTTTCGAGTGACTACATGCTCAAATGCTAGCGCAGAAAGCTTCACTGTTGGAGTAGGTACTCAACACAAAGCTCCAAGCCAATTGCGCCAGTGAAAGACCCCGTGTAGCCTTCAACACGCACCGTATAATCTCATTTATTTCGTTAATGGTCAAATTGGTGAATTGACCAATAGCGAAACGGTCCACTTGATCAGTTCATCTCCTACTGGTCAAGTTCGAATCCGACCAGCGAAGTGGACGAAATGGAACAAGTTTCGCGTGTGTTTTTTGGATTTTTCATAAGTTTGACTTTTCGGACAACGATGTTTCACTTTTATTTATGTCAATGTCAATCAGACGCTACTTTCGGAATTTCCAGGGCAAGGGCAGGAGGTGGGAAGCGGGCCATCACATGATCCCATGTATATGACAATACTCAGGTGAGAATGAGGGATTTCAGCTTATGGTGTTCAAAGGAGTACGAAGTTCCCTAATTCATAACTCTGGTTGTCACGCCCACCAAGAATGGACCACATTCAGCACTAGCTCAATAATATCGCACATTGTTTGCAACGAAAAACTGATACTTTTGCCTCCGATACACTACCGTAAAACCCTTGTTTTGCATACACAACAACGCAGCGGTGGACGCAGAAGTCTTTATTTGAGAAACCAGCCGGTCGAATTGGTCCTTAGACACTCGGACTAAAAACTGATACTTTTGCCTCCGATACACTACCGTAAAACCCTTGTTTTGCATTCACAACAACGCAGCGGTGGACGCAGAAGTTTTTATTTGAGAGACTAGCAGGTCGAATTGGTCCTTGCAGGGGAAGGATACTTGGATGCCGTAGCCAATCATAATGATTTGTACAGTCGAGTAGATTTAGCGGTAAATATAGTGTGCTTGCATTGAAGGTGAAATGCTGTAAAATTTGCGCGTGAAGAAATAGCTTCGACTGTGACGCCGGCCAATTGCGCGCGCACGATGTCCGCAGCACTGGCGTGGCTACTTGTTCACGCGCAAATTTCACCGCATTTCACCTTCTGTGCAAGCACACTATATTTACCGCTAAATCTACTCGACTGTATACCAAAAAATGCGCTTTTGAATACTGGTTCGTAGACTGTCTTTCATATCTGCGAAACGATAATTTGAATGGAGTTATGATTTTTTTTCATTAAAAAAATTGCGTTCCTGCGGAGGGTCAAAATCATCAATAAAAAAATTTTCTTTCCTTTCCAAATGCTGAGTATGATCCAGATAGTCTAAATAAATATTACTACGTCTAAAATTTTCTTCAGTAGCATCAAACGGTAGGCTAGATCAAATCTGGTGATTTTTACTATCCAAAAGTAGCCTAAATTTTTAAGGAAAAAAGTTCATAACTTCCTTCAAAGGATCGTTTCGCAGATTTCGAGCACAGATTCAGAATCTGCATCCGAAGGCGCATTTTTGGTATACAAATCATCAGGAATAGCCGCGGCATCCAACTATCATTCCCTTGTTAGACATCGGACTATAGTCCGAACTATAGCTATAGCACTTAGCTCCCATAAACAACACGAATATCAATACGCCACTTCCAAAGTTGACGAGAGACGGGAATGGTGAAAACAACTGCCGAACACGCATTAGTAAACACCTCCTCCTACGTGTACTCGGATCGCTACTAGGCGGTTGTGAAATCGCAAAACTCCATTATGTATCGAAAACATGACATGATAAAGAGGACAGAAACAACGCTAGTTTGAAACGCACAGATTAGTCATCAGAAAAAAATTTGTCGTCATCAGGCCGAGCCCGCGACGACGCCCGCAATTGCACAGCATGCAATAAATGTGCGATCAATGTCTATGATATGACCGCCCTTGTTTTCATGCCTTTTTAGAAAGCGCATGGCTTGTTCAGAGCAGATATTTTTTTCTAGGGAAGTCGCTTATTACTATACTCCTTCTCCAGTTCATTGTTTGTTTTCTAGCGCAGCCATAACTACTACATTACTTTAATTTGATATTTACTAGTAATCAATCAGCGTACTCGACAACTGTATACTTACTATATTTTGCTGGCCCACTACGTCATATTGACAGTTTCAGGAAGAAGATGAATTCTAACAACCCAGCATTACTACATGAAGTGCGATTACACGAAAATCACAGTGAACGAGAACAAATGGAAAATATGAGTGAACTATTTGCTGTATTGAATGCTTTGGAATGTCTGGAAAAGATGTTCAGCAGAGATTACATATCACATGAAGATTACAAAGTTGAGTGCTTCAAACTACTTGATCAGTACAAGGTTTGTGTAACGAATCTTCATGTTATTTTTGAGTTGCTCGACTTACCATTATTTTATCAAGGTGGCCATGCGATTGGTACATGGTACCGATGTCGAAGCTTTTGCAGCAAAATATCGTTTGCACTGTCCAGCAGCCCTGGAACGCATTCACGAAGGGCGTCCTATAACCGTGAAGGATGACAAAGGAAATGTACTCAAGAATATTGCTGTCATTGTCGAGGTTAGTAACGAAATCTTTGTTCGTCGTTTCGATGCTACAATACCTAATGATGATGAACCACATTTCAACTTTTCATTCATTTCTTATCCAGCTCTCTCATCCACGTTTAGCGTTTTCTATGACTTGAGACATGCGCATTTTGACATTTTGACCTTTCTTTCATTTTTTTTTGAATTAGCACGTATCTATCTTGAGAAGCCACAGATTTTTTTTGTATACAGTCTAAATCATGTTTTTTCTTGTTACAACAGGAGGTTCCCAGGCAATTCTGGTTACATGAGGAAAATGATGAAGAAGCTACGTAGTCACCAAGCGCCAACGGAAATTATTCTTTGAAAACCCCGTATCTAACAGGAGACTTGCATGCTTTGGTATGCAGATCAGTCTCGGGGTCTTGGCGCAAAACCATGCAAACATTACATAAGTCGTCCGCAAGCTACATTATGGGCTAAGCTTTGGTCACCCGTAAGACCGCTCAAAAGCATTCAAAAGCGCTCAATACCGCTCAAGTTTGAACTCTCTTCGCATGTGTCACCTCTCCTTACACATTTTCCTCGCTAGGGTACTGTGGTAGAGTACTATTAGGGTCGCGCAGAATGTACAAGGAGAGGTGAAAAATGTGAGGTCAAGGATTTTCGGCATTTTGGGCGCATTTGAACGCTGGCGGATGCTTTGGCGATGTATTTCTCGACCGTGAAAGATCATTTGCGTTGCCGCTTGTAGTTCAAATTGCGGTTTCCTCATAATTTTTGAATGAGAAACCTATGTGCTCAAATTTACTTGAACCCGGTAAGTACTAGCCAGATGACCAAAGCATGTGCAAAGAGGAATTATGTACAGTACAAGAGATGAACCCACATGAATTACCTAGTTTTCAGGTTTTCATCACATTCTTCGATCAACTAAAACTGAATGTTCGCGCTGTCGACGAGCTCTTTCCAAATCTCAATGAGCTCTACACTTCAATCAATGCAATGAGCTCCTTACCTGAAGATTTCGACGGTAAAATAAAAGTGAAAGCTTGGTGAGTTTCAACTTGCAAGAGAATCGAGACCATGAGACAGATACACTTAAGGCATGATCGTCTCTCCAAAATGTCCGCATCGGAAGAGATCAGTGATGAAGATGCACGTCAAATGATATTTGAGCTTGAAGCAGCATACTCATCATTTATTAAATTCTTACACAACCAACAACAATGATTCCCATGCTTTCACTGTAAATAATGAATAAATAATAAAGTTTGTAAAGCTTTGTACATGAACTGGCAAAAGAAAGTGAGAGACACTGCGAGATCGACTATCACAACTTCATAAGCGCATATTTATGCTTTCGACTAACTCTAGAGACAACCACACGTCCATCGTAAGACAGGGATGCAAAAGTCCACGGATCTGCTGCTGCCCATATGCAGGAATATCTGAAAAATTATGTGGTAAGAGCTAGCTAAAAACGACTTTCACCTTTTATTCAAACATCTGGGTAGTAGAATTTGGCTGGAACGACCACATGATGTAATATGATGACTATGGAACTCGCGATAACCGAATCTTATTTTTATGGCCTTTCAGCAACTATGGTTGACTGTCATGACCTACTTATCTTCTGATGGCCCCTCATCAGTCGATCATATGAAATTTGGAAATTCAGGGTAATGCTCGCCTCAAAGCGGGAAGTCTTATGTTTTTTGTGCCAAAGCACAACGCAAATGACAGTCTGAAGAAAGTAGTTGAAAAGCACGATTAGTCAATATGATGACAAGTTCACCGCTTATAAATTTTAAGTAGTCGCAGATAGTTTAACTCCAATTGGACGGCTACTTACACTGATTCTTCGTGTTCCTCTATCCTTTCCAGCTGCCCATCCTCCAGTTTTTCCGAGGTCTCTTCTTCGGTTTCTTCTGTGGGACCGTCTAACCCTAAGTCTCCCATTTCACTGCTTGCGGAGAGTACACACGATAGTACAACGGTCGCATCACTTCCAGCTGATAAAATCAGCTGGTCGTGAACCGGGTGGAAGCGAACCTAAACACCCGAGCCCTTGGTTATATCGCGTTAAACTTGGAAGTTAAAACGCACTTGCCAGGCCCAGTGGGCGTGCGGCACGACAGTCACAAGAGATTTGTCAGGCTGACGCCAGTCCCACAATCGTACAGCTCCATCATCCCCACAAGATGCAGCGCTATAAGCTGATCTTCAAAAAAAAATTCACCTTATTGGTATACTTACACATGTTGCAAATTCGGATTGAAATCCAGGTGAAGAGCACGATGAGCATGGGTGTCTTGAATGCGGAGAGCTTCCCTGAAAGAGCTCAAGAAGCTCATAAAATTTTGATGGACTTTGTCGCCTACTCTGATGTACGTAAATCATAGCACATGATATCTTTATCCATGGCTAATCCTAAAAGGTTGCCGCCACTGTGAGGATTCCAAGCCTGAGCATGTACGCTACCATTCAAGGTTAATTTACTGTTCACCTAAAATTATCTGCTTTACGCAATGTACGGTCGAGTAGATTTTTCGCTCAATATTATGTGCTTGCGGCAGCGAGAAAATGCGGTAAAATTTGCACGTGAGTATATAGCCATGTCAGTAATGTCGGCTTTTTACGCGCGCGAGTGGCTGTCACAATCATAGCTATTTGATTGCCCGCAATTTTCACAGGATTTTCTTGGCGCTGTAAGCACACTAGCTAGCTTGACCGAAAAATCTACCCAACTGAACCATTGCAGTGCAAAAATTTACTAACTTCAATAACTAAGCCTTACTTTCATGCCCGAATGAGGATCGAAAATCTGCACAGATGAATGGAACAAAGTTGACACTTGATCACTCGGTTGGTCCCATTCAAGACTGAACTGACTAGTCGTTTACTGCGAAAGCTCGGAAAACATTTATCAGATTTGGATGATATTAGGAAGTAGCTTCCCCTCTTCGACTATCACGTAGCTCCATCGCTTTCAGAAGTTAGTGCAATTGCACTAACTTCTAGAAACGTGCTCCAAAAACCCGTCATCCCGCCCACTTCCGTCGAGTGGGCGTCAATGGCGGGCCTTTGGAGCACATTTCCAATAAGCGAGTAAAACGGAGCATCGCATCGCGATTCCCTAAACTAGTCAACAGTTACGAGTCTATTGCATGCTGATCATCTTGCATTTGGTTGTGATAGTTAGTCACGATTGGTCGTGTCGTAAATCTATCACAACCGAAATGCTACATAATCAGCAGCAATGGACTCGTGACTGTTGTCTTGCTAGGAATTCGCGGGGCGACGAAATCGCGTAAACTCTGCGCGAGGTTTATAAGGGGGGGGGGGGGGGGGCTATTTAACACCACCAAAATCTGGCAGTGGCCACTTTAGCCACTGCTTCCAAATTATCGCAAACAGTCGCACCTCAAAGAGCATTCTTCCACGCTTGTAGAACATAATTCCTTTAGTGCATTCTTTTCATTATCCATCTCCCATAGATGAACACCAAACTTGGCGGGAGACTCCCTAACTGCAAACAGTACCTTCTTTTTCAATGTGTGAGTCTAACATCTTACTTACAGTCAGCTGCAGCCGTTGCCACAACCTTTGCATCAGAGGGACAAGATGCTAAACCGCGTACTTCACCTGCGGGATGAGGGAAGGAGAGCGAGGAAATACGAGAATATTCACCATCCAAGGACAACCGACATATCTGCATTAGTTCATTGAGATTGCCTGGAAGCTCATCATGGCAGATTCGTATTGCAAAACTATTATTTTCGTAGCTCATAGGCCACTGCTTCTTTTATCCATGAAGTTTTGTAATCAACTTATCCATGTCCCACTGCAAAAAGACAAAATCATAGCGAGAAAATCGCTTCATAAGGCAGGTGCGGCAGACCCGCCCATCAACGCGGATGGTCTGAAGACAGACCCGGAAATGAGCGCAAAGTACCATATTAACCGCTACCATCTCCACACCACCCATTTTGATGAGAGGGGCTGCCAATGCCGCATCTGCCTTTGAAACATTTGTTCGCCTTTGATTTCACTTGCAACGAGACTTCAAATTTACTTCTGGGAGCCCCGCTACTGCACCACATCAAAACTGCCAACCTCAAACGATAACGATCTTTGTGCCACACTTGATTCACTTGGTCTAGACCCCTTCATCTGTCTCGCTATTGGTCAGTGCACTGAAATGGCCAACAGCGAAGTGGGTGAAGCGGACCAGCATGCCTTTCGAACTAGCTTAAAAAAGTTGGAGGAAATGCTTAGTATTTTGCAGCTTGCTTAGTGAGTTTATCGGCAGCGCTGTATGTAGTTCTGAAAGCTTCGACCGCCCAATCGCTGATAATCTACGATATATACCGTGAAAGCTCTTAAGTCAGCCTTTTGAGATGGGGTAAGTTTTTGGAATCAGCTTTGAACGCTGATGCCAAATATGCTGTCGTTAGCTGCGGCGCATTAAACGGGAATTACGACGTCCTTCTATGACTCGCGCCCACTGTCAAATTTAGGGGAAATTCAACCCAACCAAGGTGGTCGCGTGGTAGAGCGGCAATGATTGGCTTCGTAGTCGGAGGTTCGAGGTTAGAGTCTTGGCTATTCTTTTTTTTAAGATTCCACAAAGCATTTACAAACAATTGTGTTTTCCACGCTTTCGAAACTTTCTTTCTCATCCTTAGCATGCAGCCGGATATCTACAAAAAATCATCCTGGCCCTTTCCAGACTCCAATAAAATTGTTTTTTTGCCAAGTACAGAAATTGATTGCGAAAATGACGGTTGCGGTAACTTTAGCTTACGTTGTCCTCATTGAGAAAGACATCTTTGTTATGAACACATCGTTTATGTATCATTAACTGGGACACGGCTTCGCTGTATTGAGAATACTGTTCAAAAAGAGCAAGATTGGCGTACAGCTTTCAAAGCTCAACTCATTGCATTTTGGCTTTTTTCTACTTCTCGTGCAACACAGGGTAGTCTTCCTAACGCATCGCATTGAATTACCGTATCTCACTGGTCGCGAAATAAAAATGAGTTCTACCGCTATTGTTTACAGGAATATTGAACGTGTTTTGATTTTATTGATAGGAGTTTTTCTTCAAAATCGATATCAATAGAAGAAGAAGGAATTTCGTCGCGAAAAATAGCCTACGGGGTGGGCCGGCGTCAACGATATATGTGCGCAAAGTTCCGCGGTTGATTGGTCTACACACAAAAGTTTCTATAAAGAACACATTAACTAACAAATGAATGAAGAAGGAATGAAGAGGGCGAATTATTGCCGAAACGTTAGCCTACCAACACTCAACTCTATATATGTGTGTAGATGAATGCTCATAATTACAATCTGATTGCCCAAACCGTTCAAAAATATTTGTAACCGAATTTAAAAGAGCACTCGGAAAATCCAGAATGTAACGTTATCTAGGACGAACTTCAGTTTTGCATGTTATGCTGACTAATGAACCCGTTAAGGAGTTGCAAAGCAAAAAACGCCAGCGGGAGTCGGACCGGGCCTCAGCCACGAAGCTAAACTTTGCTACTTCACCACAATCTCTTTGAAGTGACTGTAGTCCCTAGCTTCGTCAGTGGGCGCAAGTCAAAAGGGGAGAAGGCCGCCATAGCTCTTTTCCGAACTAAGCGCCGCAGCTAAGGATTGCATAGCTGATTTCAAAAATAAGTGTTCCATATCAAAAGGCTAGCTAAATTAGATGTCTTTTCTGGTTGGATCAGTGAGTTGAGGAAGCGTAAAAAAAAAGATCAAAAATAATCTTAATATGTACCAGTACGAGCTACATCTTTTGCTTACCTGATTATCCATTTTGATATTATGCGTTCCAATAAGCAGCTGCACAACGTCTTCCTCAGCTGGCACGTTTGACAGATAACGAGACTCGAGATCGAGTCCAAACATAAGACATTCACCCATCTGGCGGGAATTGTTTTATAATCTATTGATCGTTTCAAAAAAGAGACAGATCGCGAGCATTAAGAACTCGTACCAAAAACATAGAGCGAGAGTATATCAAAATTTATCATTTATCTGAAAATAACGAAATAGATTATGAGCATTATAGACTCGTAAGGAAAGTCATAACGAATTGTTGTGGTAAATATGCTTTTAGCTGACAATCAACAGGAAGTGCACAAACACTAGAGCACCAGGACATTATGGTCAACAATTTCATAAAACGATAAGGGCAAAAATCGGATGGAGAACAGTGGCTTGAAGGCACCGTCCACCCAAAATGGAGGTTGGCGAGATTATGATGGCATACTAGTGTGGGCCCCCATACTAGACAAACCCCCAAACTTCGCCGCAAAAGACTGCTTCTGAAGCGAGAAATCCGCTCCGGAAGTAACAAAAGTGGGCGGGGCGCCCCCGGTCGCCCCGCCCACTTGCATGCTTTATCTCGCCTGCACTTGTTGCAAGGGTTCTCAAAACAGGGATTTTTGGGGGTTTCGCGAATTTTCGACTCCATATTCGGAATCAGGGCTTTCAGAAGGCCTGAAAGGCAGTGTCCTGGCAAAAACTCGATTTTGAGATCTTATGCTTACTTGGACCTATTCGCTACGCTGAATCCGAAAATGCACATTATAGAGCGCGAAAATGGCGAAAAACGGCTCTAACACAGGAGGGAAATGAGCAGGTGGGCGGGGTCCTCCCCACTGCGAATTCACGTTCCCGGCTTCCGGAGCGACCTTCTCGCTTCCGGTTTCAAGTCAATCATTCGCACTTGACCGATAGCGATATTAGGACGGCTAGCGGAATCGAGAAAATCGCTCCGGGAGCTGGGAGCGTGAAATCGCACTGGGAAAAGCCCCGCCCACCTGCTGATTTCCCTCCTGTGTTAGAGCCCTTTTCCGCCGTTTTCGCGCTTTCTGATGTGGATTTTCGGATTCAGCATGGCAAATAGGCCCGTATAAGCACAAAATCTCAAAATCGAGTTTTTGCCCGGACACTGCCTTGAAGGCGACAAAAACATTGAATTCGAGTTGGGTGGACCGCCGGGGGCGCCCCGCCCACTTTGTTATTTCCGGAGCGGATTTCTCGCTTCAGAAGCAGTCTTTTGCAGCGAAGCTTGGAGGTTTGTCTAGTATGAGGGCCCACACTAGTATGCCATCATAATCTCGCCAACCTCCACTTTGGGTGGACGGTGCCTTTAAGCGATGGACAAAAATCTATTGGATCAGCAGGAAAATTCTCGGAGACTGCGTTTCAACAAAAACATTACTTTGGTGAAATTATCATGCGTGAGATGTGCGCCATATCGTTAGATAGAGATAAGCAAGCTCTACCAGACTACTAGGCACAAGAATGAAGTGATTCCTTTGAAAATAGAGGCATAAAACACAGATTTTGACCGAGCTCAGATCTCCAGTGTCCGTAGGCGCTGTGACACTCCACATGCTCCAGTATATGGTAGACATAAATTTACATAAATACAGGCGAAGTCCACATAGAATTCGCGCTTGGATAGCAAAGAACGAGGTGATCGAAAAGTGCAAACTCCGCCCATATTGGTCCTAAGCTCGTCCCGCCTGCTCATATATAAGCCACATGCATGTGCGGTAAGGTGCAAATCTTCGTTTTCGTAGATACATCGCAACCTAAATATAGCAATTTTGGTACTAAGATATCCAAAAAATTTTTTTACTAACCTGATAAAGTGCTGAAGTGAATGCGAAAAATAGGACATCCAGGGTGTGGAAAAGCGCACAATAGGCTCTGTTCATTCCTCAACCGTATTTAAGGGCATATTTTCGCGGAGTTGCGCAGGTTCAAAATTAGCATGATTGATTCTGCATTTGTGGACTTTTTGCTCATTGAATATGCGATATGAAGTGTCCAAGAATTTGCCATTTGCCGATTTCGATGGGAAATGGCTCTCCTTGTTGTTTTGCCAAACACTACACCAGACGGCGCAGCAGATCAAAAGCAACAAGCAGAAAACTGCAACAGGTACACAGAGGATGCCTATGGATTTTGCTGATAATCCTTCCGTCATTGCTTTGGACAAATAAGTGATCAGATATCCATCAAGTGAATTATTTATCGCAATAACATTTTCACTCGTATTGCGCCCATTTTCGAAGGCATCGGAGTTGTTTGCTCCTATGAAACCGAACTCAGACGCTCCTTCAGCAGGATGGTCCACGAATAACCAGCCTGTGCTTTCACTGATCACTATCTTTCCATCGCCTTTCATCATTTTCACTCGAAACTGATAGTGATTCCCTGGTGTAAGCTCTCTTATAGTTGTAGCACGCACATGACTGCCAACATTGTCTGCCGTCGTCCAGGAGTTGTTCGAAGATTTCCGCATTTCAATTTCGAATCCACTCACCGATGTCAGCGATTCCATTTTACCAATCACGGACCACTGAATGCGAACATGGGAATTGGTCACGAAACCATGCACGTCCTCGATACTGACGTTGTCATCTTTCTTCTTTGCTGCATACGACTCTGTGCTTGAGACGGCTTGAGACAAAACTTCTTCGAACCTAGGTGCTACTTTGAGATAAGCTTGCTGCTCACTCTTATCTGAACCTTCTCCAACCACGACACAAGTGTACCACCCTTCATCTTTCTTCTCGACATTGTGGATCTTTAGACTATTCGATCCTACCCTCTGCGTCCTGGCAGCACCAAAAGGTACGAACGAACCGTCTTTCAGCCAGTACTTCGAACGTACACGTTGTATAACGAGGCATATGAGCTCTACATCATCGCCGACAATGGCTGTCACATTGACGGGGCCTTGTCTGATGAGGTGATCCTTGCTTGGACTACTCACTACGTACATATTATGCGATCGACCACGTTCCAAACCACTCCCGTATATCTCTGCCTCATCCATAGCTGGGCGTGATACGCATTGCACGCTTGCGCTATAATTACTCCTTATTCTTATAGTGGCGTTGACGGGATTACTGAAAAGGTTTGCAGAGTAGGCTACACCCATTTCAGCAATCGCATCAGTCAGAGGGGTGCCGTTCACATAAACCATGGGGATTTCATACTTTACGTTCTTAGCAAAGCATGAAAGCTGCCAGCTTCTGTCACGCGCATTCTGGTTCATTTCAAGATGCACATCCGTGGGTGCATGGACCACAAGTGAGTAATACACTTGTAAATGATCTTCATTCAACGACGAATCAGCAGCAAAGGGAGAAAGTCCATGGCAAGAATATACTCCTGAGTCATCTTGAGCTACTTGACGAATTCTGAGGTTTCCCCACACCTGTCTCAGTCGAGCTTCATCGTCAGTAAGAGAGATCTCAGGTGCTTCATTGCCAAGTTTGGTCCATATGACTTTTGCACGCACATATACACATTCAAGAATGACATCATGACCGGCGACAGCATCGATGACAATGGGATTGTCTGGCCGATTCTCCTTGCTTGGATACACCAGCTGAGGAAGTTGAGGTTGTTCTGACAGCGATGCATTGCTAGACGGCTCTACTCTAAGTTTAACATATCGCGGACTCTTCCTCGTTTGTTTTGTGTAGTCATTTCGCACAACGCAGTAGTATTCTCCAGCATGATGCGGCTGCACGACGGATATCTGCATTCCTGTAGCTGTTGAAAGGTAGTTGGAGTCGACTTTGTCACTCAGGCATCCATCATCGGAACCGCTTTTGACGAAACATATTTCGGCAGGCCCAGGAACGACGTCAGGTAAACCAGCGCAGGGTAAGCGAGCGACTTGTCCCTGTTCCACATGCACATAATGATTGGTGGTTTGATCGAATTTCGTGATGCGCGCTCTTCGAAGCTTTATCGGATCAGAAACCAGAGTGGTTCTGATTACTTGGCGATTAGAAAGTCGAACTTCCGAAACGACAGCAACGCATTGGTAATCGCCCTCTGTTTGCTGTTTACCACCGATGATCGTGAGCGATGGTCCATTGATAGCGTAATCCTTATCGAATCCGTTCAATGTCTTAACATTCTCGCCATCTTTGAGCCAGTGTATGCTAACAAATTTAGCCTCACTCCATCCGGGACTCAAATGGCACAGTAGACTCGTTGGGAGTTTACGCAGTAGATACGCGTGGTCAGTGTGAATGAGCAATGACGGCAAATCGAAGGTTTGTGAGCGAAATTCGCAAAAAATAGACTTCTTCAGTGTTAAGACAGCTAGTAGCTGGAAAAGCAATTGCATGGTGGACCCCTGCCGTCATTGCATCGGCACATTGCTCATGTTTGGGTAAGTGAACCTAAAATCAAGAATTATGGAAATACTGCCACTTTTTTCAAAGAAATCAAATCGCTAAAGTATAGCGTGCAAACACTATTTTGGCTGAACGGAAAAGCTAGCAACATTTATTAGTATCTAATATGGCAACATACCTACAAACTAGATAAAATGATAATATATTGCCACCAGGAAAGGCTACGGGTTGCTTCCGTGCTAAGGCAACTGTAAGCTAGAATGACAAGACCCTAAGAACGATAACAAATTAAAAACCTATTGTGACACAGACGAAAATTGGCAGGCTGAATTCATTTTTAACACAGAATACTTCATAATACTAGCTATCAATGGCGGTCCCCGGATTTCCGTCTGGAGAGGGCGAGGGGGGGGGGAAGGCACAAACTTTTTCCAGATGTACTCTGAAAAAATTTGAGATGTTTTTCAATATTTCTGCGGGTACATAACCCCTATTTAAAAAAAGGGGCGTGGTCGTAGCCACGCTTCGAAAAATTTATTGGAAGGCTAATTTTATTTTCTAGATTCTAAAAATTATTCTAAGTATTTACAAAAAGTCACTTGCACATTTTATAACCCATGTAAGTACTTTAAAAATTTGGCGACCCTTCTAGGGGTGGGGGGAAGGAAGGGGGGGGGGGGAGGCCCGGCCCGCCATTGCTACTTATCTTTACAAAAAATTTTACCTTGGTGGTATGAGGTGATTAAAGCTTGATAAAGCAAAACAAAAACTGCTAAAGTGAGATTAATTCGTCTAGCAATTTACTTCCTAATTGAGCACCATGCCATGTTCATCATGAGCAGATCAATTTTCTGATAAATCAAAGAGGCAAAAAATACGAATTGTACATAACGCCCATAAATGAGAGAACAACGTTTGTGAATGTCACAAAGACTAGCGAAAACGACCAGATAGCACGACACACAGTAGCATCAAAAATTGAGCGTAGGGATCCCACAACTGTAGCAGAATGAGCAATGTGAGCAGAGGGCATTCCTGTCCAAGAGAGATCACCTAGAATACGAGCGTAATATCGTCACTGATTCTCGCTGATCCTTACCTGTAGTTTTGAGCAACAACGCAAAGAAGAAGGAAAGAAGTACGGGAGCAAAATACTGTAATATGACGGCGCAAAAATATGAGTAATAGCGGAAAATCTAAATTGTTTGTACACACAACGGCTGGAAAAACGAAAAAAGAATGACTGACTGTTGCTTGCAATGCAATATTTCTGATGTATCCAGTTTCTCGCTGCAAGGCTTTCAGTTTTGCGGAGGATAAATTCAGATGCGCCTAAATCAAGTGGAGATCAACTCTCAATCCCACTGCTGAGCATACATTTACCTGAAGATGGGGCGTTTTATAAGCTATCCTCATAGCAAGTGTTAGAATAGCTAGATAAACCCGCGTAATATCTAGCTGATTTTCAGTGAGCCTAAAACATATCGATATGAAAAAAGGATAAGTACCCCAACTCTCTTCGCATACAATTTCCTTGGTCCAAATACAAGCTGCTTCTTGACGGGACTTGAAAAAGATAACAGAGTGAGAAGCGGTAACAAAAATGTAATATGTAAACCGAATCTGAAATCAAGGATTTAAAGTATATACGGGTTGACGTCAAAAAATTACTTCGTCAATCGGGAGACACTTTGCTGAGCATTAGTGTACATATTAGCGTAGCGGAAGTTCGGGAAGACCAGCATCGCGGCAATGAACGAGAATAGAACAGACATGGAAACGTATCTAAATTTTCTTTCCAATAGATAAATCAATGAATAGTCGATGTAAAAGCGAGAATTTACAGAAGTATCGGGTCCCTGTATCGTGCATAGCTCTCGGTGATCCCAGTCTCATTCATCAATGTTGCAATATTGTCACAAAAATGATCATAGGCTAAAAATACCGCTGCCGATGTTTTTGGAAAAGTTTTTCAAAGATTTCACCTCTGAGCAACTGGATATCGAAGAAATGGTCAGCTTGGGTTGCAAATATGACAGAGAATAAGAAAAATATTGCCGCAAACATCAACAGAACACTTCTCTCATCTTCATTGATAATTAGCCACGACGTCAAACGCGCAAGCACCTAAAATATTCATAAAAATGGAATTTTACCGATTAAGGAGTCCGTGCGAACAATTGCAAAGCGGTATTCAACCAAATATGGTAGAATTTCCCAGAAATAGTCCAAAACTCTATATTAGTGACATTATTCTAGCCCTCGAGCGCATTCACGCTATTCGCTTAAAAAGATCACCAACCTGCAAGACAAAGGCTACAGCTATAAGGAGCCAAAGGATAGCAACATTGGTGTCGGTGCTGCTTGGGAACATAAATGAATAAAGCTCACTCATTGAGTACACCTAAAACAACCTTTCGTAATCCTATAAATAAAATGGTGCCTCTGAGACTTACGATGAGACATAATGGTACAAACAGAGAAAGCCAATGAACAGAAGAGTACATGGGAAGATTTCTGAGCTCCTCCTCCAAAACGCTGCCCACACGAAGACGTAACGGAAGAGATTTGGGTACGTTGAAACCCTCAGCTTCTTCTTCCTCCCTGTGGAATAAAAACGATGTTGGGCTTCACGCAACACCCAAACTAACCGTTTTTTCTTTCTTGCTCTGGGATTGTCTTTAGATGGTGGCATAAGTGCACGGATATCATCATTAGAAGGAGCAATGAAACGATATAATCTACAACGAAGATATAACTATAGAGAATATTTTCTGTACGCTAGTATATAAACTTACCCTTTCACAATGAACATTTGTATCAAAGAAAGGCGAGTGCCTAGCTTGCTCATGACAGTGAGAGCTATGAGAGAGACAACTATATGGAAGCCAAGAATTGCCTGGAAGATTCAATTTAATGAAAGAATAAGATATAAAGAAAGTGTTCGATAGATATGATAAAAAAGAAAGCGTCCATTGCCATTTATGGCAGAATTTACTATGCTCTCAAAAACTGAACCTGATCAAATTTAGCCTGTGGGATGATAACGTCTTGTGTATGCGACGAAACAATCCATAGCAAATTGAACACGATAAAAAATTTCAAAAACCTTGTCTACCTTTAAGGGAGATAATAAGAGTTTACTCACCATTATGTTGTTCACTACTGTGTAACTTGCTAGCCAATAAGAATAATCTGAAGATTTACGATTACAGAGAATACCTTGCACTAGCAAAAGCATTTTATGACCAGAATTTCTAAGTGTAGAACTACCTCTTCACGCATATAAAAAAGCAAACAAAGATAGAAATTTTTATCACAACTGTAATGCTTTGTAAGTTGCCGCTCAATAAAGTTACAATAAAAACTGCAAACTTTCGACCACGTCTATAGACAAAGCGACAATCGAAAAGAAGAATATATCACACTTACTCACCTGCAGATAAGTTACGTGATAACGAGGAAGAAGCGGTTCGCTAGATTTTCTGTGAAATTTGCTGAGAACAAAGTCGATAATCACATGGAGGACTTGGGATTTGCCATATGGTACAACCGTGGAGGAATATGAAAGGAAGAGCCCACTGAAGACCAGTTCACTGACAAGTGATCATTCACGGCCTGCATGAAAAAATCGGGCGTTTTGGTACGAAGATATGCATAGACATGACATATACGGGTTGGTATATGCATAATAAGTTAGTTTGAATTACATTCACTGTCAATATTCTGACATAGACAGTGTCACTACCCCATCGATGAATAAGCAATAGAATCGGAAAACCTACTAAGAAACCGACAATATAAACAGCAACAAGCCCAAGGGAATGAGTTCAAAATGAGCTATAAAAGCATTAGTCACATGTACCACTTTGCAAGCTCACTGTACATGTACATAAACATATTGAGAAATAAGTAGAAGGAAACTCTCTGATTTTGAGAAGATAAAATCAGTGGCTAGGACATATCTACTCAGAGACACCATTGATCACAGGTTTGGCATTTGTATTTGTTGTGACGCAGTTCTTGCTCGCTAAAAACTGCCGTAGTAATGTAGCCAAAAGTGATCGCAATGGTTGCCCTTCAGCAATCTCAACGAGCTCGCATAAATGCACTGGAAACTCGGCGCCCAGCGCGGGTAGAAGATGAGGTGGCAGACGAAGACATTCTTGTAGTAATTCGCAAACTACGGGAGCGTACGCTGTGCGACGAGCATCAGAACCAGCTTCTCCGTAGCCACGAAGTACAGCCGATACAACACTGATGGCAGATTTGAAGTTCATAGGAAAAACAAGAACGCGCTGTAAACTCACTTGAGCACTCCCTTCGCAACTCTGTCTTGCACAGGTTCTGAACGGGGATCGTTGAGAAGCCTCAGAAGGATAGCTAGTATGGCACGCAGTGCGTGCGTTTCTTGCCTATACACGAAAGAAATTATTTAGAATCGTATAAATGAGCGCAGGAGATGGTAGAACGCAGAAGAGAAATGGGCGTACAATTTGATTTAAGAATCTGACCTTATCAAATTTGGCTTACTCGAGCCGCGGAGACCAGCCTTCCATAACAACGTCCTCTGCCCATTGTTGTCGTTGAACTGCTTTGCTAATCGTTGGCTCTCTCCCAAAGCATCACAAAGGCTACAATATATTTTCGTTATTTATGGAATCTATCCCGCTCTTTCTGACGTACCTCAGTAGAAGTATGGGATCCATGGTACTGAACAAACCTTTGCTTACAGTATTACTGTAGTCTGAACCATTAGGCTGTTCCGACTTTATCGCTGGTATGCTCAGAACTATCTCGTCTAAACTTATTCACATGATAGAAAGTTTTTCACGAACGAATAAATGCACCTGTGCTTTTCTTCGCTCCTAAAACTATAGATGTAACCGCATCCACCAGTTCTGACTGCACTACACAAAAAACGATTTGTTCAGAGAACATCGCATCGGGATGGATTGACCTGGAGATAAGCGTGGGATACAAAAAATCACTTCAAAAACTTATTGCTTACCCGTTAGGTCGCCCGTCAATGCTCGGAACTTTGCCGTCAAGATCCTCGTTATTCGAGTCATTAGCAACTCCAGATGCAGGTCGATCCGGCTCCCACGTTAATAGGCTGAATAAGACATTGATATCAATTACACAGCAATCTCAACTCCCTGAATGAACTCACGATTTCGGTAGTGTTGCTGCAAAAAGACGTCGGAAAAGTTTCACCGTTTTCTCCCACATGTCATCGCTGAATCGTTCCCCATTGAGCAATATCAGCGTCTCCAAACAATTAACCGTAGATCGTGCTAGTTGCTCGTTTTCTAAACATCAGACTTTCAAGCGTCTCTCAAATCCGAACGCAATTAGAAACTGCGAAAGACAACACACTCTGTTGTATACAAACAGCGAACTGTTCGTAGATGGATGGTAGCACGAGCTCACTGAGCTGTGGGAAAAACTGCGTGAATACATCAACTATTGCGTACATTGCGTGGTTGCAAGTTGTCATCATCCATTCCTTTTTCTAAAAAAATAGCAGTAAGGAAATGAACACTGTAGAACAAGGATCAAGATTATATTTGGAGAAAACCTCACATCAGCGCGATGCTCGTCCAACTTAGCATGATCAAATATTCGAAATACAATGTTGAAAAGATCTCTCCACCACTCAGACCGGAATTCATTTCCATGGTTCTTCATGATCTCGAACATCACGGTCAAACTCCGAGTACGAACATCCAGTTTACATCGATTTATTATACAACTAAATCATTGTCATTGATGACAGAGAACAAACAACAAAATGAAAGTTGGAAGGAGTCAAAACAACAACGATTTACCTCAGTTCGAAGAAAATAGGAAACCACCCACGCAGCCATATCCGCTGATCACCTGACACACTCCATGACTCTTCCCATGGTGCTTCGACAATGCGTTCTTGGTTGATGGAGACGTACCTGTAAATTTTGGATGCACGTGCTAATCACATTAAAAACATGACAAAGTCAATATTTTCCATCAAATAATTCAGAATGTAATATATCCTTACTCTCCGCAAGAACGAATAAGTCGTATAGCTTCCATATTCATATCCGGATGATTGGTATTGCAGGCGAATTCCGCTAAGCATTTTAATGCTTCCTGTAACATATTTGTTTGTAAAGGACGGCGGTGAGAAACTGAGGCCTACTTGGAAGGCATCCAGCACTGAGGCAAAATCCTCCTTGAACTGATAAAGTACCACTCTGGAGCTAGCCAGGAACGCTGCTTCGACGATATCTTTTTGCACATCACCTGAATGATACTGCATAAAGACAGGAAGGAGATGTAAAACACTTTTACAAACCAGCAGCAAGCGTCCAAACAGAAAACAAATTTTGCCAGCCTGACTTTATTCGAGGAGCGTGAGCTTCCACCAGGTTCGAACAGCAAGCAACAACTAGCTCACGAGTTTGAACAGAGCGATTTCTTGCCATGATGACCTAAACAGACCGGCAGGTTTTGTAGAATTCACATGCAGCTTCGCTGACCTCAAAAGGTCGAAGAAAATCCTTCTGGAATCGAAAGTTTGGCAGCTCCCCTCTTTCAAGAAACTTTATCGCCAGTTGTCGTAGAGCATCAACAGAATAATGGGCTACAATTTCGCTCGCATTGCATCCTAAAAGCAACACATTTACAGTAGCGATCACTAAGTGAATATAGAAGTCAACCAATAAAGCATAAAATGGAAGGTTTTTCAGAACTCTACCACTGCAGCAAAAACCAAATCAGCGGTGTAAAACAAAGCAATCGATTTCAATAAAAAAGAGTCAGAATAGCCAGCATACCTGCCATGTTGAAGTGCTCGCCGACTACTTCCCATACCCTCCGCCACTCTAAACGAATCCTTCCCATGTTATAGAACGCCACCTCAAGATATAATGGTGAGAACAGAATTTCAACACAGCAAGATGAAAAAAGCGTCACAAAGGAAATTTTGCAACTCACCTCGACTAGTTTCCCTAGAAGGAACATTCGCGGAGCGGCTGGTTGATTCAGCTCTTCTTTGGAAACGGCACAGAGGGCGCGCACAAAATACACGATAGCATCCGCTGTCAAACGACATGATCCTTGGAATATCCTGAAGTACTGACTTCATTACCAAAACTTATAACCTGTACCGGAAAATGCTAAAAGAAAACACTTTCTGCGTGATATTTCTTGAATAGTTCTTCACCACACTCACTAACAATTAGTTACCTACCTGTCAACAGCTACAACGACCGCTTGTGAACTGGTTTCCCCAAGGGCACCTTGTAGTGTGGCTAGCGTACGCTCATCCAATGCACCCGTGCTCTTCATCACATCTACAAACAATTTCTAAGCAAAGACTGAGAAGTGGCGCCCACTAACATTGTCGACTGCTCTCCTTGTCCTCTTTGGTTGAAGTTCCCAGACCCGTTCCTATAAGCTGCGCAAGTTCAAGTTGACTTATGCATCTGATCACATCAACCCAGTTGTCTTCCAGATAATCACCGTCTTCGTCGCCTGAACAAAAGGTGATAGGCGACAGTATAACGATAAGATAAAGTAAGGGATAATGTACCGATGGCAAGCAACAGCTTGATGGCCTCAATATTCTTCTCTTTCATTTCTCCCAGCGCATTCTTGGCAGTAAGTAGTGTGAACCTGGCCAATGCCTGCAAAAACAGTTACAGCCGACAACTCAATCAACAGCTTTGGAAATTCTACCTGTATGAAGGCATTTCGTTCCAGTCTAGATCTCAAAACGCAAGCAGCACGCACTCCTAGCCGAAAACCTCGTATACAAAGGTACCACTCTTCCACATCATCTGACGCTTGCAGGCCGACACTAAACGCAGCCAGACATGGTGTCCAGCATATCTGAAGGTTTCAATTTCGGAATGTGAACACTGAAGAAAAGATGTACTTACTTTGAACATAGGTCGAACATGATGCTGGTGCTGGGCTGGTGTGAAATCTGCTGCCGCATTGCTAGCGCTTTCCATCAAAGATCTAGCCGTTTCCGACATAGCCGCGAGTTCAAGATTTGCCATTGCTCGCCGTTGTTTTTCGTTCTCTCCTGCATTTGCCTTTTTCGCTGTAAGAAAATAAATTGAGATAAGAAGTGAAATTACGCAAACTTTTCCATTACATTTGAGAAGTTTGCTAGCACCAGCTTTCATTTTGATTTCGTTAGCAGCGATATCATCGTAGATGGCACATAGCACATCTGGTGGCAGATCAGCACCATTGTTAATGCCTCGGTTCATGTTTACATACTGATCCTTTGTCATTTTGCTTTTCACCTGTAAGTCAAAACTTATTTCTCCTAGAAGAGCATGACAACAAAAGTTAGTGTACCTGTGCGCTATGAAGATCTGTAGTAAGCATTATAATAGAGTAGGCAAGAACATAGGCTGTGTCTGCAGAAGCAAACAGTCCCAAACTATGATGAAAGCAGAAATTAGTCCATATCACAAGCGTAAGTTTAAGGGAAAACAAACCTAGGATTACATTCGCAGTATCGGGAAGCAAACTTTTCCATGAGTCGGTCGATCTTCTGTGCTTCGCCGGGTAATCGGAATTTTTCTAAGAATATCCGCAAAGACGAGACAAAATCACGACCAGAAAAGTCCAAGTCATCCACATATGCGTACATGATTTGCTTATTGAACCTATAAGCCATTTGGATTTGAAATAATAGAAGGTCTTGAGAACACTCACTCATCGGGGTCACCGAGAAAGTCTCCCACAACGGTTTTGTCCAGTCGTTCTTCCTTCATCAGAAACTCAGCTATTTCATTGGGTTCCGTGCCAACAAATCCATGTTCTTGCAGAAATTTGAGCCCCTGCTTCGGTTTACGCGAAAATCTTAAGCAACTTTCATTTAGTACAAAAATTGTAGCGAGTTTAAGAATGCATACAGCAAGATTCCGTGTTCCATTAGCTCCTTTTTCTGTTTAAGATGAATAAACCTATGTACAGTAGGCGAGGAAGGCAACTCTGCTGCTGTATCGTCTTCATCTAAAAAACTTTAAAATCCTTTTTCTTTTAGAACAACAGGTTAATGTTACCTGCTCTAGCTTGATACATTGCGTCTTTAGTGGTTTCACAAACATCGAACCAATCAACAAGGCACTGGAGAAGGTCCGTCAAACAGCTCAAACCAAGTAAACGCATGGCTCTTTCGCTGAAACACGAATAGTGACTTTGCGTATGCTCTTTTTGAACGGGTACTTACCGTTCTTTCTGTACTATGGGGGCATTGTCGTTGATAGCAGTTCGCGCGGTTTTAGATACCACCTCTACCAAATTTTCGAACACGTTGTGCGCCGTCAAATCGCAGTCATAGTTTACATACAGGTCCACTACAGACTGAGGATTTGCCAGAATCTTTCCTAAACAACTCACATGGATATGAAAACTTGATCAAAAACATAAACATCATGAGACTTACCTATGGTGTGCAGAACAATCCATTTATGCTCAAATGAACATGATGAAGACTCAAGCATGGATATAATGATTTCTTTGAAGAAGACCTAAATATGTAACCTCACATTAAAGTAAATGGCGAGTAGCAATCAAAGATCTGTGGCCTTATGTCCTCACAAATCAGCCAAATAAAAGCTTTTAACACGTGAAATGTAAATCATATATTCACCTCAATCTGCAGCTTCAAATGCACTTTGAACTTGTCTAAAAGTTGCACAAAGATAGCCAAAGATTTTTCGAAGACCTGAAATCATAAAAACAATCTTATACCAAAAATAAGTAGATGCGACGAACCTTTACATTGGACGATACTGCATTTCTTGAGAGAGCGACACATAACGACTTCCTAATCAACAAAATGAATGGTTGAGCATTTTGCAATGTTGTTGAAGAGTTTTGTAAAACCAGCAACAACATTTCCAACGCCAACATTTTAGAGTTCAGGTGCGTATTTCTATAGACAAGGAATACAGATAAGTGCAGCTGAGCAAATTACCCAACTTGCCTTGGGTCATTCACATCACCCTCGTCCTTCTGAGCAAGAACACAAAGAGCTCGGAACACTAGAAAAGCGTCCTTCTGCTCAACGTTGGGAAAGGTGATCTGATCTTCGGCATGTGCACCGTCGTTATCGCCCCAGATAGTAGACGCTCCAGCGCCACCACGACCACTTCGGCTTTCCACTTCGTCACCCTAAAGCATATACGCATGAGTTCTAAGTCGCCAAACAAAGTAAAGCTAATCAGAAATTAGTTGGAAACAAGCTTACGCATTCTATCGCCATGCTTACAGCTGAGGAAACTAGGTGTTCAACGACTTCATGAACGATGACCGAATCGTCCTTGGTATTTCCCATTCGTTCCATGTTAGCAAAAACGGCATTGATGACCTGATAGAAGGCATTTAGAACGAGCAGTTGCAGTAGATACTAGCAAAATTTAAAAATATCTCAAAGTAAAAAGATAGCATTCTTTGGGTGGAGAGCCTATCATGAGTACTGACTGTAGCTGAAGTTGTAATCTATAAGGAGATGAGTTCATTCATTTCTAACGTTTACTAAGCTGCGAAAAATGACTAGTGCTTGTCCAAGAATCGAATGCTTTCTGTCCTTGTTCAACCGTGATAAGACGCCTGTCTTTGTATCAACAACGACACCATTCATTTAAGCTTACGCAACATCTCAGAAAATTCCGCCCCAAACATCGGAAAGCAAACAAGGGACATTTGAAAAAATTTAAGGTGCTGAAAAGGCGACATCCAACGTTTTGAAGCTCGACATTACAAAGTATGTCAAGTTCGCAACGTTCATCTTTAATGAAAGCAAAAAACACAAAAAGCCGTATTTTAAGTGTCAAGTAATAGCACGACAATATTCAAACAAAGATCTAAATTATCGCTCAAAACCTCATTACCGGTTCCGCATACAACTAATTAGCCCAATCAGAATCTAATAAATGGCAAGGCAGCTCAAGTATAATCTAAAAAAAGCAACGAGCATAACACTAAAAAAATAAACAAGCTAAAGAAGGCATACTAGCTGATATAAACTGCAGTACACACATAAACATTCATTTACCTGAGTAAGAGTTCCTTTAGCCGTGGACTGATTGATAGGGCTTTTTGTGGCAAGAAAGATAGTGAAACATGTCCGTACAGCTAGCAGAAGGGAACCTTCATGCACTTCACAATTATTGGTGAGCACAACGGCAAGTATAGCCTACAGATAAGCTTTTTGAACTTTGACCTCCCTTATATTTCACATTATACCTTTATTATTTGTAGTAGCACGGCTTCGTCGGTTCCTTGACCTACGAACGATGAGCAGATGGCTTCAACAATGCGATCAATCAGTTTCCGATCAGGATTCGACGAATCCGCTCCACGTCCAGTCAGATGACCGTATGCTATCAGTTTCTGAAAGATGGGAGAGCGCTAATGGGAAACAATGGCAAGGAATTACAGAACCCTGTTAATGCTTTGAGGTCTTTATTCGGAAGCGAAAAAAGCAATCATACTAGGCTGGGAACTTCCCAATGACGAATGAAAGCATTAAAGTCGCAAATGGATGTACCTGAAGGCAATCTAAGGCAGTGATGACGATCTTAGGACTTCTTGATTTGCAGGCCAGCTCGAACGGTAAAAAATAGCGATCGGCTTCAACGATATGCTCCTTGTCCGGCAAAACTTCACCATTGTTGTTATCGTTGGCATAGTCTTCGCCTTTCAACTCTTCTATAACAATGAACATTAGCTTTAAGAGGAGAAAACCATCGTAAATGAAATGAACAAACGAACACATCTGCTTCGATTACAAGCACTCACCTAGAACGTTTTCGCATGCTTTTTTCAATTGTAAATTCTCTTTTCGTTTGATATCACGATCCGAAAGAATCCTTTCGATGGCACTTCTCAAAAACATTAGTCCTGTTTGCTGCAGGGCGGAGTTCATCACCAACCGCCAAACATACTAGATCGAATGCAACAGATTACCCTGAAATTGGTCGCGTCAATCAGTATGACCTCCAGAAGAAGAAAACACAACGACGAAACAAAAAGAAACAAATTTACAGCGGATAGACACCTCATGTTATGCGTTTAACGTGTCGATCCACGCCAACAACGAATCGCTAACGCCGCGCGACGACGCAAGCGGCAACTAATCGCGGCGACAGCAGGAAAACGTCTCGTTTTTCAGTCATCGCATTCTCACCTAATGGGAAAAATGTTGCGATAATCAAAGTGGAACCGCTCCACTTAATGAGCGTGTCCAGCAGTTTCCATGCTTACTCTGTACTCTTATGGGAAAAACCTGATGAGGAACATCTCGCTCAGTAGAGACTGTGGCGTCTGCTGCAAAAACTGCTCTCTATCTTGTTAATATAACAGTCGATCAGAGAACAACAAGTCCAGTCCATGTCCTAATGTGACAACAGTGCTGTGCTGCTGCCGTGGCGACATCATTTACTCTGTACTCTTATGGGAAAAACCTGATGAGGAACATCTCGCTCAGTAGAGACTGTGGCGTCTGCTGCAAAAACTGCTCTCTATCTTGTTAATATAACAGTCGATCAGAGAACAACAAGTCCAGTCCATGTCCTAATGTGACAACAGTGCTGTGCTGCTGCCGTGGCGACATCATTTACTCTGTACTCTTATGGGAAAAACCTGATGAGGAACATCTCGCTCAGTAGAGACTGTGGCGTCTGCTGCAAAAACTGCTCTCTATCTTGTTAATATAACAGTCGATCAGAGAACAACAAGTCCAGTCCATGTCCTAATGTGACAACAGTGCTGTGCTGCTGCCGTGGCGACATCATTTGCACGTTGAGTGAACTTGGGGCGCAAAAATTGCGTGCTCTATGGCGACTCCCCACGCGCAAGTGCTGTATAAGCCGCGGAGACACCATGACGTTTGATTATAATGTAGCGGTTATGATAAGCATTTCGACGGCCGAAAGCGCTGCTTCTCGCGCTATTCGACAATAACTGCAGTACAAGGGCCGGCATACATCAAGCGATTTCAACGCCTCGTGATTAACCACAACAAGCTACGAATTCATTGACGCAGATCATTTTGCACTTCGGTTGTGATAGTTTCTCGACACGTAAGCGCGACTAACTATCACAAGCGAAATGCAAGATAAACAGCATGCAATGCAGGTGAATGTGCAAGCCATGAGTAGCCCAAAAAGGTTTTCAAAAGTCTATTACTCCATTAAAAAGGCGCCAAGAAGAATTCTTTGCGTAGACTGTGGATTTCCAAGGTTTTCCCAGAGCATTTGAAGAGATTTTTGCACAGGGAGTAGTTCACGGTGATTGCATTCCTTATGGTGGCTACCAGATCATAGAAGAATTCAAGACCGATTTAAATCTGCATTTGTTCTTCCGTTGAATTTACATCCTCGCGAAATTACCCATCTTAGGTGCATGAAATAGCTTTCAGAATGAGCAGTTGTTTATAAATTTGTGATAATGAGCATTGCGCGGTGAGTTTTAATGCCATCTTATGCGAGAATGGGTTAGGCTTACAGATACCCTAAAATCCCACAGATAAGAGCGGTTTAATTTACCGGTGAAAAATGAATTGGAAGAAATTGAAATTGAATGCAGTCACCCCTCTAACTTGATGGATGGATAAATAAAAATCGGAGAAGTTTAGAAGAAGCTCCGCCCCTCAACTCTAAACCCCGCCCACTTAATAAACAATTCATATAGCCGAAATTCCGTTAAAATCGCTATTTTGCTATATGAATTGTTTATTAAGTGGGCGGAGTTTAGAGCTGAGGGACGGAGCTTCTTCTAAACTTCTTCTCCAATTTTTATTTATATCCATCAAGTTAGAGGAGTGATTGCATTCAATTTCAATTTCTTCCAATTCATTTTTCAGCGGCAAATTAAACCGCTCTTATCTAGGGGATTTTAGGGTAGTATAACCAGTGCGAGCCTCTGCGAAGCAGAGGTGACGCACTGGCATTCCATATGTGGTAAAGCGTAAGCGTGAAAAAATCGTCTGAGAATAGCATATTCGATATGGCTGGAGAAATTCAGATCAGAGTCAATGAAAACAACTAAATCTTCGCAGAGCAGTTCCTTAAATGCAGTGTCCAAGCAAAAAGTCGATTTTGAGATTTTGTGCTTACCTGGGCCTATTCGCCATGCTGAGTCCGATAAACCATATTGGAGAGCGCGAAAACGGCAGAAAAAGGCTCTAACGCAGGAGGTAATTAGGAAGTGGGCGGGGCCGTTCACACCGTGACGTCACTCTCCCAGGCTTTAGGAGCAATATTCGCGGTTCCTTTTTTATGTCATGCGTTTCGCAGTTGGCTGGTAGTGATGTTAGGCTAATTAGCGTAAGCGAGAATACGCTCCTGAAGCTGGGAGAGTGACGACATTATGTGAACAGCCCCGCCCACCTGCAATTTTCCTCCTCCGTTAGAGCCTTTTTTGCCGTTTTCGCGCTCTCCAGTGTTGATTTTCGGGTTCAGCATAGCGAATGGGCCTAGGTAAGCACGAAATCTCAAAATAGACTTTTTGCTTGGACACTGCCTTTAATTTGATACCATCTATTTCATAACTGGGAATTTTCGCCTTGTGGCATACCACTTGTACAAAAATATCTATCAGAGAAATGGTCTTCTACTTGAACGATCATACTCCTGTCGTGTAGATATGGTCCCAACCATTCTTACTCCTGTCGTGTAGATATGGTCCTAACCATTCTAAAAGATTTCTGTAAAGTCGCAGTGCTTCTTCAATAACTTGCATTGTTGCCAGTGTGTCTATCTAGTCCTTCTTAGTCGATTTGTATGTGTTTTGTGTGGTATTTTAATGGTTTTCCCAGGTTTTTATTGTTTCGTGCCGGGACCACGCGATCGGGTGCGGCATGCACATCTTCTCGGGCCGCTCTATAAGGCGGCTCCGCTTGACTCAAATGAGTCTTGTCGTCAGTGCTAAGAGGAGTGCGATCGTATCTCATTCGAGGAGCCAGCCGAGGAGACGTGGAGGATCGTTCTTCAATAAAGATATTGCATGATACCCCCGGATACCACGCCGAGCCCCCGCAACGCCTAGCTTGAGGCCAACTATTGCCACGCATAGAAGAGAGACTAATCCCCTTCCGCCGTGACATAGGGCCGGACCGAAAGAAGAACTCCTCCGCCGGAACAACCGTCGATACGGCTGCGAGTATCCTGCCGTGAGGAGGCAGAGTATATTCCCTTACGAAAGATTCGGTGTTTAGCACATCGAGCTCTCTTCGTTTGGAGAACCACAGAAGCGCGGCGGTTTACACGGCCAGCTTCTACCCGAAGGGAAAAAGCGTGGCGTGTACCGGATACTGCACCTCCTGTGTCAGGGAGATACGGAGAGGCGAGTGTGTCATATACACCACAAGGGGCCACCTTTGTAAGCGGAGCAAAGTGCGTGTACCGTGGTGTGATACAGCTGGAATTGGCAGTTTGCTGAAACCGCGTTTGCGTCGAGCACCGGAAAAGTGTAAGGAAAAGCGGAAGTGAAAGAGCTTATTGCAGATAGCGTCATGACCGAGTTCCCGAAGATGGATTCTGGAAAACTACTCGCACATTATTAGATGCAGTCAAAACCTTCAGCATGTAGCGGCCGGTCGCAGTATAGGATTACACACTCTGGCACTCATCCTATGGCACGGATGTACGCATGACCCTGTATGACCCTCCCGGAAGTGGAAACCTGAAAAGGGTGGGCGGAGTTTGTGAGATTCAGGACTAAATACAGCGACTTAGTGTAGGAAAAGCGCAAAATATCTGCGCTATTGGTCCATCTCCCTCGCCCCGCCTCAGGGCGCCTCGGGGCTATATAAAGTAATATGCCCCGCCCACAAGAGGTTCGGACTTGAGGCAGCTTCGCAGCTGCCTCTTCAACAAGATCGTCTCCGAATCTCCGCCCCCCTCCCCCTCATTTTTAATCACCCGCCCTCCATGTTTATTTAATCTCTAATCATATGTTTATTCTATTATTCTTCTTTGTATGATTGCTTCGCATTTATTCCCGTCCATTATATTGTTATACCTATGTAAGGTTGAGCCGGAGCACTTGCTCCTGCTTGGCTACCCTCTATCTCAAACCTATCTATCCTCCACTTATCTATCCGCTATCTAATTTCTTCTCTAATTATTCTTATACTCTTATCCCGCCCTGTTTTGCCGTCTACCGCTACACCCTTTATATTCTATACTTTGTTTATATTTGCCTGATAAATGCTTAGTAAGGAAGCTAGTTGAGTTTTATGTATGCCGGTTGAAAGAATAGGAAGTAAGCGTTACTAAAAGTCCAGCTACGGTACCACTCTTAGCTTAACGACAACCATAAAAACATAAATTCGTTACATGGAGGTTCCGGACCGGGTTTTACCTATATAAAACTCGGCAAAAGAACAATTATTTTACTAACCTATTCTAGACCATACACTATTGCCATATATTCACTTCTATAAGCGCATTAAGTCACATCTACGCCACTCTCTCGCGAGGCCACATGAAAATTTCTCAACTTATGTGACTGGAGCAAACTGCTCCCCACTATTTTCATGGCGTAGGAAAAGCCTGGCCAGGTCGTCTAAGCGTCACCCTCGCGAACAAGGTAAAATTCAAAACAATTAAGTGACCGCTCTACAGTTCATGCGCAGTGAATCAGTATTTATCTAAGCTTACAACCTTACCTCCAACACGATTCGGACCTTTCCCAACGAATTCCAACCTTTCAGAACGCCTTCAACAACAACTTCCTCTTTTCCCATAGCATTCCTTTCAATGACAGCATTATAAACACAAATCGTGCTATACGAATCATTAATCAGAATCCAGTTTTAAAAAAACCCCCCTGCTGTGGCTCACGGATACAGCCGATAAGGGCGGGTTCTCACATACGTATAAATACCCCCTCCCCATGAACTCATACACCTCATCTTCTTACCTAACCATGGAGCGACAAACGCTTCTCTCTCTCCTCTGATTTCTCCCATTTTAGACCATACTTTTGAGACCCTTCAATTCCAAAAAAAAAAAAAAACAAAAAAAAAATAAATTTCCAACATCCAGTCTCATTCTCTCCTCCGTCGCGTACTAATCACTTTATATTATAGAAACATGTTCTCTATGGTGACAAAAATCAATCATCTTATGATGGACACCTACAACCAGCATTTCAAGCCATCGCAAATCGGTGACCAGTGTGATTACTATCACTACTACGGCCGAATGCCGGTAGTGATGACCGAAAGGCAAGAAACATCACATATACTAAGACTAACTAAAATCATCGAATTAGTGGAGGGAAAAGACCTCGATTACGTTTCGAATTATCGCCTTGAGGCTTACACCCACGCGGCGATCGAAGAGGCCACAAGCGCCTTCGATGGAGCCACGGGCGAGATGATAGACGATTTTAGGAGCATGCGAGTCATGCAGAACACCAGCGCCAGAAAGAGCCAGTGTTTCTGCACCAGATGCCCAGCACGCACCTCATTCGCGAAGCATCTGCAGTACACGGCTCAAGCCCTTCCAAAATTTCCAGACGCACCTCTGCTGCAAACAGGAATTCGGAGGGAAGCAGTGACGCGCACTCTCGAACAAGTATGGCTCGAACTACCAAAGATTGAGATCCCACCAGAAGACATGGACCTGTATACACCGGACTTCCGCTCTAGGAGTCTGTACGAGAGCCGCCCTTCAACTACTTCCAGTTTTCAGCTGCTCGACCAAGAAAATCGTGAGCCGCAGCAATAATTCGCTCCTTTAACTCATACCTCTTTGTCATCCCATTCTATTCATATCTTATGCAATTGAATGAGTAATGAGTAAACCATGTCTAAGAAATGTACTGAACCTCGAAAAAAAAAAGAGATTTGACACTCACAAGCAAAAAAAAAAGTGTCTATCAGCTTGCCAAAAGGCTATTCGCACACAAGCTAGGCTACCGTATCTGAAACTATAGCATTAGCCAACACGATTGAGTAATGACCGCGCAAAAGCCGCCTTGAGCCTCAGTTATCCATCATGTTGAGCCACGAAAACGTCAAAAGCGCTACGGCCAGAAACCACACAAGACAAATGTCCCCATAGGGCTTTCGTACGATTTGAAAATGACACAAGGGGCGAACAATCAACCGCCATATGCCACGCAATAAATCTTACTCGCGCTTTGAAACTATCCATGCGCGCGCGGAAAGATTAATTGCTGTCCCGAAAATATGCTAAACGCCATATGCCACGCAATAGATCTTACTCGCGCTTTGAAACTATCCATGCGCGCGCGGAAAGATTAATTGCTGTCCGGAGAATATGCTAAATTTTGTACTCTGACGCATAAGGCCGATTTGCATATAAGACCGCAGCGAAACTCCGCCCCTTTCGAGTATAAAAGATAGACCTTAAACCAAACGTCCACTTTAACATTCGACCAGCTACGCAGCATCCGACCCAACTGTCTGTCATACCCTTGAACATTCCAACTACACATCAACAAACCAATAACTTTGGCAACAACGATACGATCAGGTAAGCATTAACTTTCTACCTTGTGTAAATTTTGGTTCATCATCCGAATCAAGTCTCAAATTCTTGTCATAACTTTCTGCTATTCATCCTCACCTTGCTACTTTTGAACGCAAACAAAAAAGAAAACAACACGATTTTGTAGAGAAAATTACTTATAATATCCTCATACTAATAACAACACGATTTTGTAAAGGAAGCTACTCATAATAGTCTCAAACTTTCTATCGCTTGTAGGAAAAGCGCATTGTAGGAAAAGCGCATCCCTCCACGTAAATCACCGCACAATCGCATCTCAACGCCGCGTTGACCTAAAATAGCCAAGTCAAAAAAAAATCCATATCATTGAAAAAAAAACCAATTCAAAGAAAATCCGTATCAATCCGTATTTTTTGCTATCAACAAAAAAAAAAAAGGGTACTGTTAATTAGCTCAAAAAACTCAGCTAACGCTACTGTAGTACCACAGAAAAAAAATTTTCATCAGCTCATAAAGTGTAAACCTAGGAAAAAAAAACACACCTCATTTCGCAGCCTTCCATTTTGAGAGCCACGATCACGCCCTAGTGCAGTTACCGCGAAAATCCTGTAAAACCCATATACCATTTGAGAAAAAAATATATATATACAGCTGCAATCGAGTTCTAACTCTCACTTCATTCAAAACAGTCAAGATACCTTCTAAGAAATCACTCCTTATAATCACGCGTGCCTTTCAAACAAATCGTGACGATTGTAACGTGACGCTCAAAAAACTGGAAAAACAACGCAAAACCCCGCGTATAACGCAATCTGACTTAGATCGTCCTTCTACTAGCGAATTAGAACCCCCGGAAGAGTTTGAATATCATTCCGTAGACGAAAGCAATCCCAACTTCTCTCTTGACGTAATTAACGAACTTCGAGCCGTAATCAGAGACTTTCAAGACCGGAAAAGGGCAGCAAAAGAGCTAGAACGATCCTCCTCGATTTCAAGACGCCCAAACATGCCCAGCGCTAGCGTACAAGCCGATATGAACGCGCCTGTAGTCGAAGACCCTAACTTTCCGCAGCAAAACTTATATGCCGCGAGCAAACTTCTGTCGACTAGGCTTGAAAGATTCACCGGGGACGGTGACAAAACATTTGAAGAATTTCTGGATGATTATAAAGAATTGGTCGACAGCCTCCATATTCCCCATGCTTACGCCCAAAGTCTCCTCCCATTATTTCTATCCGGTGGAGCCAAAATAAAATACCAATCTCTAAAACCCGAGGAAAAGGGAAACTGGACAGAAATCGTTACCAACCTAGCGAAAAAGTTCAAAAACCAAGCTATGCTAAGTAATGTCCGAGACGAACTACATAATCTCAGACAAGGAAAAGACACTGTTGGCGAATTTGCAAAGAAGATACTAACCAAAACGAAAGTAGCCTACCAAGGAGAAGACAAGAAGATACCTAACAAACTTTCCATCGATTTTTTCATCAAAGGGTTGAGACCAGACATCAGGCGAGCCGTTAGACGCCTCCCTGACCCCGAAGATTTCGATACCGCTCTTGCTAATGCTGAAAAGATACAAAGAATACTCGAACAAGAATATCGCGAAGATAGAGAACTTTTGGAAAGCATAAATTCTTTAAAAATAGGCGAGAAAGTGGAGGAATTGACCCAACAGGTCAATACTCTCCAAACTACCCGAAATACTCCGCCACCTAGACAAGATCACTCCCGGGCAGTAGTACGTTTTCAACCAAATAACAGGCCAAATAATAATCCTAACTGGAGACAACAAAGACGATCCAGCACTCCTTTCCGCCCCACAAATACCAGTTACGGAAATTCTCGCGGATTTCGACCTTTTGTAAGACGGATCTTCCCAACTAACAACCGTTTTTGGCCTCGTCGCCCTCCTAACAATCAATACCGCCCTTACAACCAATTCTACAACCCATATAATCCTTACACGGCGTATGCACCTCCAGCGCCATACGTCATAAATCAGCCTGCACTACCGCCGGCGCCAAACACGACCCAATACTACCAATCGCCGGCGCCAAATACGACCCAATATTACCAGCAGTCAGCCCGAATGCCTTCGGCAGCCCAAAACGTAAATTTCCTATGCATCCTAGCCATAATAGCCACCTGCTTGATAACCCCAATCCTGCCCTATCAGGTCTGCGGAAGCAGTACCTTCCCAAATGCACTTTCTCTTCCCAAACTAATACAATGCAGCGTCACTCCGGATGAACCCCTGCTCGAAACCACGGTGCAACTTTTTGGCGAAAATACCAACCCCTTACGAATCCCTGCCTACAAATGCTACCGGGATGTCATTCAAGTCTCCATACATAACATCCTCTATATAAGAACACGACGAACTGTAGTCAGCCGCCAACGTCTCTCAATCCCAGCAGAAGAATGTGAACTTGGGAAAAGTAGCGGTAACATTAAAGGACACACCCTTACCGAAATTGCTCCAGGACTTAAAGTAACGGAAGAAATTGAGGACGAAAAGAGCTCACTCCCGCTCTGGGGTACGAACCTATACTTGCGAAGCCTCTATTCCATCGAAGAAGGACAAATAGCGTCCCTAAATGGTGAAGCAATGCTCAGCACCTTTGGAGATTTAAACAACTGCTCACTAGCGCAAGGAAACTGTAATACCCCCACCGGGATGGTAATATGGGAACCCATGGAAGTGATCCCCTGGTGCAAATATAATGCTATCGGAGAATTCAACGCTCTGGTTAGCATAAAGTACGTCCTCGTACCCGACCATGAGTTAGCCTTTGAATTAAGCAACAACCACCTCCTCCGCTTGCGATTGCTACAGCACTGTAACATACCAAACAGCTACCTCACTAATTCAAATCACATACTTTCTTTCCCAGACATCCCATCTCACATGATGATCCAGGATTTCATCGTGGAAACTTCCGCTAAACAAAGGAAAAGGCGCGGCGTCAAATATCTAGTCGACAATGAAAACCGTCGCTCTCGCTTCGAAATAGTTCCCGCGCGAACCCTACTCATGACGCGGAAATTATTCGGCACCGCCGAGTTTCAAAGGTTACCCCAGTTTGAAACACAACCTATAACCGATCACCGACTACTAAGGGAAATTAAACTATGGAAAGTCACCAACCAAGATTTTTCCCAACGAAGTAGGATGTACGCTCTCGAAAATACCCGCATAAGCGTCCTGCGAACAATCCGCTATGCAGAATACCGATACCACCAGCTTGCCTTCCTTGAAGATATACAAACTAGAAGACCTCTGAATTACGCTGAACTCGCACTAAAACAAGACCTAGAACAAGGTATAACTGATATATTCGATCCATACCTATCACGCGAGTTCGGAGTACTTGGAATTGACCTTGGTCGAGACCCCAGCAAACTCAGAGAAAAGCCCATACCATTTTTCCGAGAGAAAGATCTGGATAAAGTCGACATCACGACTTTAGGTTTAGAACCCATCGCTCACCCAGAACCTCTACCTAGCGAAACTACCTCGTCTCCGGCCACAAGGCCTTCTACGTTCTATCCACCGGTTATGATAACGACAAAAAGAACCCTTCCGGCTTACATACCCACCAAGAAGCCAATTTTTGTCATTCCGAACACGTCCACTATCACCCCTCGTACCTCACGAACTTGGCCACCTGCCCCTAGTACGACAACAACCACAGAAACACCAAGAATAGTCGATCCTGTACATCTGACTTGGCCACCTACTCCCAGTACGACAACTACCACAGAAGCGCCAAGAGTAGCCGCTCCTGTATATCTTATACACGAGACAAAAACTATAGACGCAATTGTACGCACTCCGCCACCACTGTCTCACACATTCCCACACAATCAAGCCACCATCAAAACCTTCTCAAGTCACCCCACAACTCTCACCTATCCTACGAATCCTATAACCACGTCAACGATCCATCCAACAACAGCGAAGCCAACATCAGCTTATGAAAGGTTCTATCACCCGCCGCCCTTCCAAACCCCAGAAACGCGACCCGATAGATCATCCCGGCCACCTTTAGCCGAAGACGACCAACCCGAATCCAGAAACCTTAATCCTCAACCGTCAATGCAATTTCACTATCATGAAAATACCCTACGACAAACGTTCAATAACATTTGTATAAGGCAATATTTAAATAACCAACGACTTCACGAGCTCAGTCATGTCGATCCCACTTGGGCAGCACGACTATTGCTCAGAGATACGAACATCGTCGCCACCCTATCGGGCAACGAACTCCTAGTGACCAGATGTAGGAAAGTTGAACCAACCCAAACATTTCCAAGTCACCAAGTCAATAACACCTGCTATGATCTTCTACCCGTCTTGGTTGAAGATCAACTGTGGTTTGCAATCCCTGCCACAGGAGATTTAGTCCAAACTGCGACAACAATGCCCTGCCCTTATATCTCCAATGTCGATCCCAGTCTAGTTCAACAAATATTACCACCAAATGTACTTCCAAACATAAACGCAAAACCTTTCTTATTTAACCCGCCGCCTATTTACCATCACCTCATGCAAAACTACGCCCCGACCACCAGATTCCAAATCGATTACCTGCAGCAAGAATACGCAGCCTTACAAAATCGATTACAAAAACGAGGGATCATAGAAGATACCATGCTCAAAATCAAGGACGCGGGGAATTCCTTGAAAGACTCTCTGTCCTCAATCTACACCAAAACAACTGATAAATTGACCGCTGGCGTAGAAAGCATTAGATGGTCCATGATTTCGCTCTTGCTCTGGGTAACCATCCCCACACTGGTAATCATCATTCTCATTGCATGTTGTGTCTGCTTCGTGAAGATCTATTTTATACGAAAAGCCTCTAGTTCTGCCGCATCCGCCATGGTAGACTTAGCTAGCAGTCTCTCGAGAAAACGATTAGCCAGGCGTCAGCACGAAATAAATGCTCTTATGGAGGAGCAAAACAACGGAAATCAACCAAATTCCCTTTTCGTGCCACGCATCTACTCCATCTTTTCGCAAGTCAATTCCATCAAAAGTCCATTACCATACGTAAGGATAACCCTCAACCGTTTCTCCACTCCAGCGCTCATCGACAGCGGCGCTACAATATCTTATATGAAGCAATCCACGCTATACGCGCTAGGACCCAATGTAAACATCGACAACAATCACGTAAAAGCGCAAGCCGCCAATGGAACTCAAATAGAGCTCTTAGCGTCCGCAACCGTAAATGTCCAAGTAGGAACCCATATCATACAACATCGCTTCCTGGTGTCGCAAGATTGCCAGTGCCCAGCGCCAGTTCTTCTGGGAACTGATTTCATCAAGAAACTGAACCAATTAGGTCTCAAAGTAACTATAGACCTACATAACAACTTACTTACGATTGGTAGCGATGCGCATGACATGGTCCAAATAAACGCCATTAATTTCCTTGAAGTCAAACCCAATGATGTACGACTCTCCCAGACGACCATTCTACCAAAAAGATCTTCATCCATTGTGCCGGCGTACATCGATCCTTACGATCCCAGCAACCTGTTTGACTTCATCATTGAAGACAACCACAGAGATCTAGACCTTCTATACGTTGTTGGCCGATCTTTAGTGAGCCCCAACCCCAACGGGGCATGCCTCGTGAACATCCTAAACCCATCCAACACCGATATAAAGCTTTATGGTCGTATGAAAATAGCGCACGCTACACCCGTATCCTCTCCACTCGAACAGATTCTCACCGTTCAAGGCGAGTACATACCTCCCGAAGCAAACTGGGAAGAAAGGATTCCTCACTTCCCAATTCCCTGGGCTCCGACCTATGATATCGCTTCCGAAATAAACCTAACCAAGTCCGCGCTAACATCGCAGCAAAAAGAACATTTGTTAGCCATAGTACGTCAGCATTCTCAAGCCTTTGTAGGACCTGATGGACACCTAGGACATTATAACGGCCCAATACGACACCGCATCGATCTCATAGAAGATGCCCCAATACCAACTAGGAAAATATACCGTGTCCCACTCGAAAAACGACTCGAAATAGAGCAGCAAATCACTCAAATGCTCAAAGACGGTATAATTCGCGAATCCGCATCACCATTTTGTGCCCCTATAGTCTTAGTACGCAAACGAGACGCAACCTCATGGAGATTCACTATAGACTTCAGAGGACTAAACGCTATTACCAAACCCCAACAATCCATACTCCCTAATATCCAGGATATAATCGATCTATGCGCAAACAACTGCCTATACTCCTCCTTGGATTTTCAACAAGGCTTCCACCAAATTCCTCTAGAGGAAACCCATTGCGAGAGAACCGCTTTCGCGTGCTTTCTCGGAGCATTCGAGTACATCAGAATGCCAATGGGATTAAAAGGCGCCCCCGCAACCTTCCAGCGTATAATGGATGAATTCAAAAAACATCTCAGAGCTCGAGTTTTTATCTATATTGATGACTTAATAATCACTTCCGAAACCCCCGACGAACACCTCAACGATATAGATGAGGTGCTCACAAAAATCGAACAGATCGGAATGAAGCTCAAAGCTTCTAAATGCGAATTTGCTCAGAAGGAAATCAAATTCCTAGGTTTCGTGTTAAGTAAAGAAGGTATAAGACCTAACCCAGAGAAAACCCGAGCAATTGACGAATATCCAACTCCAAAAAATCCCACCGATATCAAAGCCTTCCTAGGAATGTGCTCATTCTTCCGTAGGTTTGTCCATAACTTTGCGGCTATCGCCTCACCCCTTACCGCATTAACTAAGAAAGACGCACCATTTATATGGACCCCCGAGTGTGAAAACGCGATGCACCAATTGAAACAAGCACTCACCACTGCTCCAATCCTGGTCGCACCAAGGCTAGGATTGCCCTTCGTCATCGAAACGGACAGCAGCGGCAAAGCAGTAGCCGGAGTCCTAAAACAAGAACAGGATAACGAACTAAGAATAATTGCTTACGCCAGTCGCACCCTAAATAGTCATGAATCCCGATACCCCGCCATAGAACTAGAAGCGCTAGGAGTAGTCTTCGCAGTGCAAAAGTTTCGCCCATACATTGATGGAGCCAGATGCACCGTAATCACAGACCACGCCCCGCTCAAAGCACTTCTACATCGGAAAGATTTGATTGGGAGACTAGCGAAGTACCAAGTAATCCTACAAGAATTTGACATAACTATCGTATATCGGCCCGGAAAAGCCAACATTCTCTGCGATACGCTGTCAAGGCACCCGCCCCAAGTAGCCGCCATCTCTACCGAAGACAGTCCTAATATCAATTTATCCTCCCCAGAATTCATTGAAAAGATCAGAGAGGAACAAAGAAATTCCCCCTGGATACTGTCCTATAAACAGGCCATAGAACTAGGCGAGTCTAACCCGCACACTCGCGAATATCTCATCCTCAACGATATACTGTATAAACTACCAGAGAAAGTCTATCAAGATCCCCAGGTAGTGCTTCCTGAAGATTCCAACATCAAGAAAGTGCTAATCAAACAAGTCCACGAATCCCGCTTTGGCACCGCTCACCTAGGAATCCAAAAGACCAAAGCAACCATAAGCAAACTTGCAATCTGGAACAAGATGTCCAGTGACATCAGCGAATTTATAAAATCTTGTCCCATCTGCCAACTACGGAAAGATCCTTCCGTTTATCGCACAAATGAACCGCTGGATCGGTTTGAAGTTCCTAAACGACCGTTTCAGCGCGTTCACTCCGATGTCATAGGACCCCTTCCACTAACGTTACGGGGAAACAAATTCATCATCGTCTTTGTTGACGCTTTCTCTAAACTAATGATCACCGAACCCATACCAGATCAACAGGCAATCACCACTGCGGACATATTCGTCAACAGAGTAGTGAGCCGTTTCGGTCCACCAGAGATACTAGTCACAGATCAAGGAAATAACTTTATGAGTGATATTTTCAGAAACACACTGAAAGTGCTCAACGTTACCCATAATACTAGTACACCTTACCATCACGAAAGCAATGGTCAGGTAGAACGCGCGAATAAAACTATCGAAGAACTGATAGCCACTGCTATATCCCAAAAAGAAGACCAATGGGATGACGTAATTCACGTTATAACCCACGCGTATAATACCTCCGAAAATGCATCATCAAGACATACCCCGTTCTTTATCACTCATGGAAGAGAAGCTAATAACGCCTTCCGCCTAGCCCTACAACTACCCTCAAGAACATTTATAGATGAGGATGACTACGTGGGCCAATTAACCTCCACCCTCCAAAATGTTTCAAAGGATGTAACCCAAAACCTAACCTCCTCCCAAACCATACAAAAGCATCACTACGACCTTAGAAAACATGTAAACCCAAGTACTTATAAAATTGGACAGGAAGTGTTGATAAGAAAAGATGTAGATTCAAAAATCGCACCTAAGTTCGAAGGTCCTTTTCCCATTGTGGACATTGAACGGCCAAACGTCACCATCCGAGATGGCCGTCGCTTACGAACCATCCACATGAATCGTTTGAAACCATACTCTCCTGCAACATCATTGACGGAAAGCATACGTCCACAATAGTCATACCCAATAGTTCGCGATCAACCCGTATTCGAAACAAATCACTACCAGCCAATAAAACTTCATTTACATGCAATATCAAACATACTAAATTAAAAAAAAATAATAACGAATCTAATAGTTTATAAATATATATATCGCAATTATTTAAAAATAGCAGACTAGTAGCACCAAAGATATACGCATATATATGTTCCATGATAATGGGAATAGTCGGCATAACCGGCTCTATCTTCTCTAATAGCCGGCATAACCGGCTCTATCTTCTCTCCCTTAGCCCGATTGCGGCATGCGCGCACCAGCAGATAGATTGGCATCACCATCAAGGCCAATGAGAGCGCGCATGCTAAACAAAAGCAAACACAATCCTCAAAAAAAGGAAAAAAAACTCAGCAAAACTAAAGCCAAGAAAAACAAATAAAAAAAACAACGAGCAAAGAAAAAAAATGACAATCCTGCAGTCACTCATATAATTTTCGAAGGCGTAACCCGCCACGCTCAAATGGACCGCGTCGCGCGCACGCCGCGCGCCGCACCCTCGCTGCATTAGAGCGCCCCTACCACGCTACCGCCCAGAATAGCGTGTTAAACATGTTGAACGCACAAAATCGAGGATCTCAACCGGAAAACAGTTGCAGATGTCGACAAATACGATTCCTGTCGCTTCCGAACGTTTCAATCGCAAGAGATCCCGCTCGTCATCGTCATCCAGCTCTCGTCACACGCAACAATCACCTGCGTTATCTTACTACCTCTCTTCTTCTTCTTCTTCTCCTTCAACCTCTCCTTCTCCTTCCCTAACTCGTTATCTTCTTTCTACTCCCACTCCTCCTCCTGATAACGCTATAACTTCAGATGTAACATCTCCAAATAGTCCTTCTCCTGACATTCTCCTCGTTGTACCCGCAAAATCTGATGTAAATTCGATTGTATCTCATTCTGCTTCATCTCCTTCCCAAGTTAACGACTTTAACAATGCCACAAATCCTTTGCAAGGCAAAAATCCTCCATACATTAACGATTCTGACAATACAACTATCCTTCCGGAAAGCATAACTTTCCAAGTTAACGTTTCTAACACTGCCGCAAACCCTCCGGAAGGCATCACACCTTCTACGATAACCATCCATGTACCAACACAAGCCTCCCAAAGCTTTTTACGCCGTAGGGTACTCCTTACTACGCCCAAACCTCCTCATAAATTGTGCACCATTGCACAACCACAACCACGCAATTGGGAGAAACCTCCTGGAGCCATCCCTAGCTTACTCAAACTATGTCTCCCTCCTACACCACCAGAGCCACATGTACCTCAAATTTACTATCGGTTAAAACACCAATATCGCGGGCCTACTCACCGACGCTGTTTCAACCCAATCCCGACACTTCTATGCCTCCTCTGCAGCGAAAGTACCCATCCTACACGGTACTGTCAATCATCCTTACCTTACCGTACAAGAGCCCATGTACTTCTTCAAAGATACAGGCTCTGTCCTCGCTGCCTCGGGAACCATAGCTTGAACAAATGCACAGAGAACCCAACCTGCTTTCGGTGCAATGCCATCGGCCATGCTACTGCCATATGCCAAGAAGCACCAATTCAATTTTTCTAGTCCCGGGGACCGGGACTTTCCGAAAGAAAATCATGTAGGAAAAGCGCAAAATATCTGCGCTATTGGTCCATCTCCCTCGCCCCGCCTCAGGGCGCCTCGGGGCTATATAAAGTAATATGCCCCGCCCACAAGAGGTTCGGACTTGAGGCAGCTTCGCAGCTGCCTCTTCAACAAGATCGTCTCCGAATCTCCGCCCCCCTCCCCCTCATTTTTAATCACCCGCCCTCCATGTTTATTTAATCTCTAATCATATGTTTATTCTATTATTCTTCTTTGTATGATTGCTTCGCATTTATTCCCGTCCATTATATTGTTATACCTATGTAAGGTTGAGCCGGAGCACTTGCTCCTGCTTGGCTACCCTCTATCTCAAACCTATCTATCCTCCACTTATCTATCCGCTATCTAATTTCTTCTCTAATTATTCTTATACTCTTATCCCGCCCTGTTTTGCCGTCTACCGCTACACCCTTTATATTCTATACTTTGTTTATATTTGCCTGATAAATGCTTAGTAAGGAAGCTAGTTGAGTTTTATGTATGCCGGTTGAAAGAATAGGAAGTAAGCGTTACTAAAAGTCCAGCTACGGTACCACTCTTAGCTTAACGACAACCATAAAAACATAAATTCGTTACATTAGGGTTGCGGAATGATATGCTAGTGCACCTGTTTGTGTCGAAACTAGGGGGACACCCAAGGACAGTGGCGGAAGCGCTACCAAAGAGGGTTAGGGAAGGCACACTAGAGGGCATCATCGAGGCAATGCGGAGACAGTTTAATGTCCATGATTACGCAAGCCAGATGAAAGCCTATATGGAGCTCAAGTTTGAAGATGAGTAAGGACCTAGTTTCCTACTGTGTGGAGCTGGAGAAACTCACGCAAAGAGCCTACCTGGACGAGGAGCTATCAAGAACTAGAGCTCCTATTGCGGAATGGCCGGAATTGCAGTTTTACTCTACACGGCGCACCTAAGCAATTGGCGTATGAACTGATCAAAGCGATGACACTGCAATGTGAGCGCAGCAAGGAAGTGGCCACAATGGTTGATCTACGAGCAAAAGCAACTACGCCGTAATCGGACGCTGAGACATCCGTCAGTGAAGACCCAATAGACGGAAGTGTAGAGTATGCTGGTCCTCCAGATGTTTCGGCGGCATCTCGGAAGAGGCAGAAGCGCTGCTACAACTGTAATGAAACAGGACATTACAGCCGTGAATATAGCAAGCCAAAAGCCTCGAGACCAGCGAGGGTACCCGAAGGAGCCGCAAGGAACTTCACGACATCCTTGAGTAAGTGGATTTGCAACTCAGTAAGTTCATCGGCTAGGGAAAAAGAGCTAGTTGGTGAGCAGGCAATCGCAAAAGTGCGTCTGCTGGGCCTAGTTCGAGAAGCTGTGCTGGACACGTTGTCGCAAGTCAGTATCATTCCTTCGAAGATGCTCGCAGCGAGCAGAGATAAAGGATTCGATCTAGATGCGGACGTAGAGGAGATTCTGATAGACCACCTGGATCCTATTTATGATGCCTCGAACAGGCGGATAAAGTTCAAGGAAGCGATTAGGCTACCTTGCAACTCGATAGCGCTAAGCACAGAATTGCCCTCTTTGTAAGAGCAGGAGGTGGCAGAAATGTGCTCGGAATGAATGCGCTGCCAAAACTTGGACTGTGTGGTACAGGCATTAGACACACTCTCGTTAACACAAAGAAGACAGTTGCCCAGGGTTTTGTCCCGCGCAAAACTCCGAGACGGAATAGACGAAGGCAACCGTCTGAAGGCGTTATGTTTACGAAGGGAGTGTAAGTTCAGTCAAAGACTAAGAAATTGCCTGTTCGTGAAAAAGACTTGTCAGAAGGAATTGCTCAGCGCTGCGGGTAGCTTCCAATATGGAATACCCTCCCAGCGTTTATGTCGAAAACAGCTTGGCAGGAGCCAAGCTCAGGAGAGCGAAGGAGGAATGCACGCTCGAGCAACAACCTTTCAGACATTCAAACAGCATCCAGGCAAAGCCCGCCGTAAATCAAGTGTTAACATGCTCGGTCGGGCTGTGAGCGAAGGACAAGAGGAAGCAAAGCCAACTGAGGCTGATGCTGCGCACGATGCAAGTATTTCGCAAAGACCCGGTCTACCACGATCTTATGAATTGTCTGGTGAAGGACAAGTTAGACGGTCGAGTGAAGTTTGAGAAGGTGTCACACGAGTACAAGGCTGAAGTAAAGAAGTGTTGTAAGAGTCGGGACGACTTTTCGGACGGGCATATAAAGTCGCAGTGCTTCTTTAATACTTGCCATTGTGTCCATCTAGTCCTTCTTAGTTGATTTGTATGTGTTTTATGTAGTGTTTTAGTGTTTTTACTAGGTTTTGATTGTTTTGTGTCGGGACCACGCGATCGGGCGCGCACGCACATGTTCTCGGGCTGCTATATAAAGCGGCTTTCCTTGGCTCAAATGAGTCTTGTCGTCGGTGCCAAGAGGATTGCGGTCGTATACATTCGAGGAGCCCAGCCGAGGAGACGTGGACGCGCCAATCGCCTGGAGGATTGTTCTTCAATATAGGAATTGCATCATATCCCTGGATACCACGCCGAGCCCCCAATAGCGCCTACCTTGAGGCCAAGTATTGCCTGCCCTGATGAGAGACCCAAGTTTTCTTCTTCTTGACATTTCCATTTGTTCCAAATTGTTCGAGTTTCAGTAAAAGCGATCGATGATTTACTTTGTCAAACTTACTTACTTAGATACTTAGATGGCCCGTCTCCTCACGTGACGTGCGGGCCCCAGTACAGAAGTTGCCATTTTTCTCTGTCCCTCGCTCCAAACATCCACGATCTTCTTGGCCGTCGTCGGTGGCTGCGTCCACGAGTTCCAGGCGCGAAAGTCGTATCCAGCTGATTTCTCAGCTGGTCCATCCGTTCCACGAACACGTCTGCCCATCTCGTCGGTGGTCTTCCTCGAGGACGTTTGGCTTCGCGAGGAATCCACTCAGATGTTCTTAGTGTCCATCTGTCGTCTGTTCTTCTCATTATGTGACCGGCCCATCGGTGTTTGGCTTTCGCAACGTGTTCCGCTGGGTCACGAAGACGGGACATTCTTCTCATATCCGTGCTGCGAAGTCCGACTAGATGTTGCTTGCGTCAGGTCATTTTCAGAAGACTGCGCTCGAGCGCTTTGTGGGTGGTCCGTAAGGCTTTCAACGTGGCTACAGTGTCGGCCCAAGTGTCAGCTGCGTAACAGAGCGCCTGGAGAACGGTTGAGTCGAACAGGTGGGCACGAAGCTCCGGGTCCGTCAGTTGGTCGGTGGCTTCAGAGGCCCGAAGGCGGCCCAGGTTGCTCTTCTTCTCCTGTTAAGTTCTTCCCTCAAGTCGTTCTCCATGTGCATGAACGTCCGAGATATACGTAAGAAGACGTCTCCATGATAGGGGTGCCTTCCAATTCCATTACTGCATCTTCGCAAAGGGCGTTCCTCATGAACTGAGTCTTCTTCCGATTTATTCGCAGTCCGATCTTCCCTACTTCGTTCAGTTCCTTCAGCATCGTCTCTGCTTCGGTGATACTGCTCGAGAAGAGAGCGATGTCGTCCGCAAAACGAAGGTTGGGCAGGAATCTCCCATCAACTCGTATGCCTCTCCCAGTCCAGTGACTTCATCACCCACTGCAAGGCTGCGGTGAATAGCTTCGGCGAGATTGTGTCGCCTTGTCGGACGCCCTTCCCGATTGGTATGGTCAGGGGGCGATGGAACAGCTGCATCGTTTTTGTACAGTCCTTGCAGCAGTTGGCTAGTGTCCTCACATAGGCTGGGTCCACTCCTTGATCGACTAGCGCTGACAGGATGGCGTTGGTTTCGACGCTGTCGAAGGCTTTCTCGTAGTCGACGAAGGTTAGGACGAGAGGCAGCCGGTACTCCCAGCAGACTTCTATGACACTCGAAACGGTCTGGATGTGGTCCATGCAGCTGAATCCTTTGCGAAATCCAGCTTCTTCTTGGGTTTGGGCTTCATCCAGTGTTTTTAATATGCGAGCGAGGATTATTTTCGTGAAAAGCTTGTACAGCACACTCAGCACGCATATTGGACGATAGCTCCGAAGATCCTCCCGTTCACCCTTCTTGAAGAGAAGGACGGTTCTTGACGTTCTCCACTGGTCGGGAATCTTCTCCTTCTGAAGGTAAGATGTCAAATGCGCGCTAAAACCTCGTGTAGAAGGTGTCCTCCGGCTCGCAGAAGTTCGACGGAAAGATGATCTGGTCCTGGAGCCGTGGACGTCTTCATGGTCTGTATCGCGATACGCACTTCAGCAGGTAGAATTCGTGGTGGTACTTCTCCAGTGGGAACAACGGGCATGTGCACGGGTGTTGATGAGCGGAAGAGGTTGATATAGAAGTTCTTCGCGATAGATTCCATCTTATATCGGGAAGAAGTCGGAGTCCCGTCTTCGTTCTGTAGTGCAGCCAGCGGTACGTGATATTCGCAGAGGTCCCTTCGGCACTTCTTGAGACTTCGTCTTCTTTCGGCTGCTTCCAGTATCTTGGCTTGCCTGTACTTCCTGAGATCCTCTTGCAAAACTGTTCTGCAACTGGCGTTGGCTATCAGTCGCTCGAGATGGGTTGCATTCGGATTCTGCCTCAAAAATCTTCTTTTTTCGAACCCCCACAATGGTCGGTCGCCTCATCGTGGCGTGGGGGTGACACTGGGTGTCGAAGTGCGATGACAGCCGAGTGTATACTCTGGTAGGGCCTCTCAAGCTGTGAAGGAATTCGACGTTTCCGGTTTCGGCCGGATGCCTAGCTAAGAACCGGCCACGCCAGATCCCCCGCCGTCTGGCTTCTTCTGGTCGCTAGGCAGTCTCTTCCCGCTACAAGCCCGCAGCGTTTGCCGGTGGAAATCAAGAGTAGGCCTAGTAAGCCACCTCTTGTAGGGGAAAATTCATATTACTCCTCCAGTTAGAAAATTAGAAAGAAACTCTGCACATCGCATCCCGCCTATTGCGCCGGGTGGTAGCAAGAAGATGTTAGGGTACTCAGGGCGCCTTTCGGATTGGACAAAAACGACACGTCTGCCCGGATGACACGCCATGGAGACTGCCTCATGCTCTGCACCTACAACGCCAGGACAGTCTCCACAAACGCTGACCTCCACGCTCTTCTCGACGCTGCAGAGCACATCAACTACCACATCATCGCTTTGCAGGAAACGAAGTCCAGGAAGAAGGACGACAGGTGAGTGATGGGACCCTTATCATTCGTGGTGAAAAGGTTCCTTTACGAAAAGTAGGAGGCGTCGGTTTTGTCGTCCACCCATCTATCGTCCATCTTGTCGATTCGCACGAGATCCTATCACCTCGACTAGGCTTCCTACGACTTTGCCCCCCACGTCAGAAGATCATCAGCATCATCAGCTGCTACTCGCCAACATCAGCAGCTGACAACTCAGAACTAGATGCTTTCTACGAAGACGTGGAGGAGGTCGTCCGCAACGAAAAGTCCTCCTACAAGTATGTTGTGGGCGACTTCAATGCGAAAATCGGGATGCCACTAGAAAAGGAATATAGGATCGGAAAGTTTGGATATGGGTTCCGAGACGAAAACGGCAACCGTCTCGTTGGGCTTCTCTCCGCCGCACGACTCTTCCATGGAAACTCCATCATCATGAAGAAAGAACATCGCCCGTGGACTTGGGAATCGCCCAACGGAACGACTCATGCTAAGATCGACCACATTCTCACCAACCGAAGGTGGAGCTTACTCGATGTTAGCTTATCGATCTGTAGTTCCTTCCTTCTATAGTGGCTCCGATCACCGCCTCCTTCGAGCGAAGATACGACTCAGCCGTAGGCTGGAAAAGAAAGTCTGCCATAGTGCCGCGAGAAGGAAGGAAGTCGTTTATGACGGTAACAGGCTGGAAGAGCTCATCTCAAGTTGTGACTGGCCCATCGAGGAGGACTCAACGTACAACTACGACCGGCTTCTGAAAGGATTGCGAGCCTACGGAGAATGCGCCTCAGTGACTTGAGAAGAACTTGGAACTTTGTCAAACGCCTTAGTTAAATCTAACAAGAAAAGGAAGGTTAGTCGAAGTCATGGGTGCGATAGGGGAGCCAGGTCCTCTCCAGGTGAAGGCACTCCCATCCTTGTAGGGTGAAGGGAGTAAGTGAGCCATGAAAGCGAAATCTTATGTATAAAGCTGAATGTCTGTTTGTATGTATGTATGTATGTATCAGTGGCGTTCCGAGGGGGGGGGGGGCGGGGGGGGGGGGGGGGGGGCGCGCGCCCCCCCCCCCGAGAATGGGTCGCGAAATTTTTGAAAGCTACTTATATGGGTTATAAAAATGTGCCAGTGACTTGTTTATTTTTTTAAATAATTAAAATAATTTTTAAAAATTTTTAAAAATTCAAATTAGCCTTGTAAAAAAAATTTTTTCGGGGGCGTGGCTGACGCGGTCGGGGACCCGCAAAAGTTTTGAGAAGCACCCAAAAAAATTTTTCGGAGTGCGTGGCTAACGCCACGCACCTTCTTTAGAAATTTTTTTTTGTCGCGCCCCCCCGAGCCGAAATCCTGGGTACGTCACTGGTATGTATGTATGTGTGTACGTATGTTCCGAATAGAAAATTCCATTTCTGAATCGATCCGGACCAAACTTGGCACACATACACTTCGGGCCCCGGCGGGTGTCATAGGCTACTTTTCGTCATCGATCGATATCGATTTTATCGATTTTTATCGATTTTTTTGCTGAGTTCACCTACGGGGCTGGGAGTTGGCACAGGGGGGTAATCGAGCATGGGAATTCCGAATACAATATTGGTTTTCAGGATTATCGATTACTTTTATTGATTTTATCGATTTTTTTGCAAAGTTTGAGCTAGGGGGCTGGGAGTTGGCACAGGGGGGGGGAGGTAATCGAGCATGCTGATCATCCCCAAGGGGGGTGATCAGCATGCTCGATTACACCCCTGTGCCAAATTCCAGCCCCCTAGCTCAAATTTTCAAAAAATCGATAAAATCGATAAAAGTAATTGACGATCTTGAAAACTAATATTGTATTCGTAATCTGCATGCTCGATTACCCCCTGTGCAAACTCCCAGCCCCGCAGGTCAAACTTTACAAGAAAGTCGATAAAATCGATAAAAGTAATGGACGATCCTGAAAACTAATATTGTGTTCGTAATCAGCATGCTGATTACCCCCCTGTGCAAAATCCCAGCCTCGCATGTCAAAATTTACAAAAAATCGAGAAAATCAATAAAAGTAATCGATAATTCTGAAAACTAATATTGTATTCGGAATCCCCATGCTCACTTCCCCCCCCCCCCCTGTGCCAACTCCTAGCTTTGTAGGTGAACTCTGCAAAAAAATCGATAAAAATCGGTAAAATCGACATCGATCGATAACGAAAAGTGGACTGTGACACCCGCCGGGGCCCGAAGTGTATGTGTGCCAAGTTTGGTCCGGATACGGCGGAGCCGGGTAAGCCAGCTAGTGCCATAATAATCTACATACCATCCGAAAGCTGAAGTCATGACGAGTTGTATAACATTGCCAATCTTTCTTCTTATTGTTAGTATTTTGCGCCGAGAGATATGAGCGACTTTATCTGGCCAATATAACAACTGATTTAGCGAATTCACTTTCTGCTCTCATACCGCGGTGAGTATGAAAGCCACGAGAAAGTGGATGGTTTATGCTTATTGATGAGGACTTGCTCTGTAATACAAATAGACAATCAGCGTAGCTAGCTAGGTCTTCGTTACGCAGAAATCTGCTTTCAGAAAAAAAAGGATATAATTTTAGATAAAATGCTGCATATCTCGTTTCAGTGGGGCTGGAAGAAAGTCGACTATTCATGTCAGACCTCTGTTTCCTAAGCTCTCGAATGGTATGTAGATTGTGGGTGAAAACGTAAGAATGCATAGTTTCAGCTCATTTGGTCCACTTAGAATAGTTTGTATAAAAAACATATTTATCAACAGACAGACACACTTTGCGTCTTATATATTTAGATGAAATTTCTATCAAACAAAGTCAGCTCTTGCGCTCACATGTACCTCAAATCATTGGCGTTGCTAAAGCGTGGTCCGCGCTAATTTTACAGACTGATTTTCAACATTGGCACAATTATGTGGGCGATTCATCACAAGAAAAGCAGGGCGGGACTAAGGACGCTTTCGGCCACTTATTCAAGCCTCTTTCATCCTCCTTACCTTCTGCCGTCTCTCTCATATCAGGTTGCTGCATAAGTTATGTCCGATTTGAATTCGCAAACTCAAAATTTCATAACTTCTTTCAAAGTTAACTTTTTTCCATGATCTTACTCATACTATGTTGAGCAGTTCTTTGAGTATGAGAGAAATATTAAGACTTGCGGAAAACCTTGTTAAGGAAGAGGCAAGAACTTAAAAACTTCTCAGCGTCCTACTTCAGACCTGTCTTTTTAATATGGCAATGCTCCCTAATGAGAACTGACAGGCATATTAGACCATGGATAGAGAAACTTTGGTAGATAATTTTGCGACCTCAAAGAGCCCAAAGACTCCATATGGTCCTTGGGCTTTTTTGGGCGAGGGATTTTTGACCGAACAAAAAAGAAGCCGCATCTTGACCTTGTTTCGGCACATGTGTGCATGACTATACCTTATAATAAAGCGTTGAGCGTCTGTCTGTCCGTGTGCATGTATGTCTGCCTGTCACGAAATTCACAGAGAGAGTTGCAGCCAACGTCTCAAGCTAAAATTCTGCACAGTACTCTGGCTGTGTCTAGGCTCGCATTGCATAGTGGCGAATGGATCCGATGGATGGGTCCTTTGAAAATTGCAATTGGGTCCGCTTGGCTTTTGGCACGCAAAACTGGCCGCCGTTTCTTTGTTTTGCAATAACAGGCATTTGTCTGACAAATAACTTTGCGATCAATGAAGTTATTCTTGAAAAATGCATCAAAGTTCTGTTTTCCTGCTAAAGCAGCGCCAAAGAAGATCGATTGCGTAAATAATCGATTAGTCAAGGTTTTACCAAATAAATTGAAAAAATTCTTGCATAAGGATGTAGCCCATGGTGTTTGTTATCCTTATGGGAACAACGATTTGTGTAAAAATAGGATTTGGGTGGCGGGCCACGTGGGTGAAAGGATTTGCTACAGAAGAATAACGAAAACTTTACTAACGAAAAAAAGAACACTGGAAAAGCAGAAGCCTGCCTTGTGGGCAGTACAAGAAAAGACTCACAAAGAACAGGAACAGAAATAAAAATAAAACAATGCGGCCAGCGCCGCTCCTCGTCGTCAATAATCGGCAACAATAACGAACGAAAAACAATCAACAAGCGCTTTGGCGCGCGCAGATCACAATATCAGATCACCTATTAGATCAAAACGGTCCTTCTTCCTTACACGCCCCTCCTCGAAAAGTCACCTCCGGGGACTTGCTCGTAGTATCGACCGCGCTGCTTCATATTTGGGGCTTGCTCCATCCGCTTCGCTATGGGGTTTCGTAGATACATGATTTCCGGCTTCCTCATCCTCTTCCTTTTCGCATTGGGTCCTCCTTCAGTTCCTGACGGGTTGCTTGACTCTCCCTTCTTCTTCTCCCGTATGTGGAATGTCGGCAGACGTAGCGTGTTCGAGGCTGCTTCTCGCAACTGCTCCAGGAAAATTAAAATTTGCCATCCGTGCAACTTATCTTCTCCTTTCCGGGGGCTTATTCCCAAACAAGTGGCCGGGTGGAGCTTCGGGATTGCATCTTCTAATGGTCCATAGTGGTCTATCACCTTGGCGTCAAACCCCCTGGCCGGTCCAGTCAACATTCGCACGACTTCAACGCAGACTTTTCGGAGTTCCTCCCACTCTTCCTTGCGCGCCTTCTCGAAAGGTGGCGGAAAGCAGTCCAACGTTCCACCGCATTGCAAATGCCTCTCGACGGCCTGCATGCTCCTTCTCATCTGGTCCGACCTCGGCATTTTCTCCGGCCAAACCCATAGCATCGCCGCGCTAATGGGTATTTTGTTCAATTGATCCGCCATGTCGTCAAGGTGGTTGTACACAACGAACTTCACTGAATCTTCCGCGACAACCTCCGTCCGCACACGCTCGAAAGCCTTCGGCAAAGCTAGAATGATCGAATTCGTCGGCATGTCGTCTCCATCCAAGTGGCTGAGTTGTTCCTTTCTCGCCAATGCTTGGTTGTAATATGCGGACAAATCGTAATCCGTCTTTTGTGTGAAAATGTCCGGATGATGGAGTCGCTGGCCTTCCTTCTCGCGCAGGGCCATTGCGAAATCGTGGCAGAACGACCGGTGGGCTGAGATTGCACAGCTTAGTCCGATCACCGACAAATGCGTCGATTGCTTCTTCAACAACTCGTTTTCTTTCCTCCAGTCTCCCCAAGTGGGTTCCAGCGCTATCGACGCGACGTTTGCGAGTTCAAACAAGTTTTTCACTTTCTTCGACTTGGCCAATTGGCATCGCAGACCCGGTAGTGCCAAGTGTGCGCGTTCTCCGAAAATCCCACAGTTGCAGGGATGCAGCAGATGCAGTGGATCCGTTCTCGGGTCTCCGACTTCGACTCTGAAACATAATACTTTAGAACTCGAGACTTTTCTCGGTCTACCTCTTTTTGCTTTGGTTATCGTTACTTTGCCAGGCTCATTTTCGGGACCCCGGGACATCTTCTTAGGTCTACCCCTTTTTGCCCTTCCCCTGTGGGTTTTCACAGGCTCATTGTCAACCCCTCGGGGCACTTTTCTAAGCTGATCGAAAGGTACGCGCTTAGGCTCGTCGTTCGCATTTATCAACGTAATTAAAGCGCTGTTGTCACTGAGTTCAATCACTTTAAAGGGGCCTGACCAATCGTTAGCTAGTTTAGGATGGTTAGATGAAGCCTTTTCCATAGGTATCTTCATATACACCCGGTCGCCTAAAGTCAACGGCCTCTCGTTGACCTTGTGGTTTCTATCGTAGTTGAGCTTCATCATTTTCCGTGCCTTTTCGTTTTGTGCGCGAGTAAATTCATGAGTCATGCGCATCCCTACCACAAGCTCATTTACGTAACTATCCAGGTCCACCATATAAGTTGTGATCCCATTACCAGCGCTGTTTCGGGGTACATAAGGATCGAATCCATGGAGTAGAAAGAACGGTGATTCACCAGTGGACTCATGTATAGCAGTGTTATATGCTAACACACAGTATGGAAGCATCTTGTCCCACTCCACCGGAATCTCTACCTTCTTTCTCAGCAACTGTACGATGGTTTTGTTGAATCGCTCCGTCAACCCATTCTCTCTGGGATTGTAACCTTTAGTGTATGTTTGGTTTATCCCTAAGGTCTTGGATAACTCATTCAGCATCTTGTTGTCAAACTCCCCTCCTTGATCAGACAGGATACATTTAGGGAATCGGCAACCTTCTGCTATCCATCTTTCAAACAGTACTCTAGTAACTTCTTCCGCTGACTTGGACGCTACAGCGTAAGCTCCTCCATACTTTGTAAAGTGGTCTATGACGCTCAAAATGTAGCGGTTTCCACTGGTGGTTAGTCCCATTTCCAGTATGTCGATGCCAATGATCTCGTATGGTTTGGAGACAGCGATGGGTTTCAGAGGTGGCGTCATTTTGGGTTTGTGGTTGTATAGAGTGCACATTTTACACTCTTCCGCCCATTCAAGTATGTCCTTATGCATACTATCCCAGAAGAACTTTTTGGACAACTCTCTCATCAGTTTCCGGGGACCAAAATGTCCTGCCAGCAACGATGAATGAGCTTCCAAAAACACTTCTTTGCGGCGCTCCTTTGGTACCACTCTTCTATAACCATCCTTCTCCACGAGGCACAAATAGCCCTGTGATAGGGTGAAATCTGAGACAGTGTAGTTCCTCAGAATTTTCCTCGAAGGTGGTTCCTTCCCTTGCTCCAATGCTTGCATGATACCCCCGTAGAGTGGGTCTCGCCTGAGCTCCACTGTCCACTCAGGTTCTTCGGTGACTGCTGCTACAATGAGCCCGTTTGCCAGACTCTCATCCTGGTCTCCATCCTGGGCCTGCGCAGCGCCTCGACTCAAGGCATCCGCGACCCTGTTTGCCGCTCCTTTTAAGTAAACCATCTTGAGGTTATACTTTTGTAACTCGAGCGCCCATCGTAGTACCCTTGCTGAGACATTAGCCCTAGTAAACAAGGATGTAAGTGGTTGGTGGTCTGTACATACTTCTACACTTAGTCCGTATACGAACATGTGAAATCGCCTTAGTGGAAAGATTACGGCGAGAGCTTCCAGATCCGTGATATGGTAATTACGCTCGCTTTTAGTCAGCCCTTTTGACGCAAAGTAAATTGGATGGAGCAGACCATCATCGCCCTTCTGACTAAGAACTGCTCCTAATCCCGAATAGCTGGCGTCAGTATGGATTTGAAATGGTTTCTCGCCACTTCGCGCCCCTTCGACGTCTGGCTGTGTTAACACCGGAGCCGATGTTATCACCTTTTTCAACAGTTCGAAAGCCTGCAACCGTTCTGGTGTCCATTCAAATGGCTGTTTTTCGGAGGTTAGCTCATGCAAAGGCGCAGCAACTTTCGCGAAGCCAAGGACAAATTTCCTATAGTATGAGCACATACCAATAAAGGTTCTTAGCTCGCTACGACTTTGAGGTAACGGATACTCCACGATTGCAGAGACCTTTTTCGGGTCCATGTGTATTCCTTCTGCATCTACGAGATGACCTAGGAATTCGACGGTGTGCTCTAACAAGGTGCACTTCCTTGGATTGAGCTTCAAGTTTGCTTTCCGAAAAGCTTGAAAAATTTGTTCTAGTCTTTCTATGTGACGCTCTGCTGTCGCTGTTGCTACCACTACGTCATCCAGGTAGCAAGCTACTTCGTCACCTAGAAGATGACCGAGGACTGCATTCATTAGCCGTTGGAAAATTGGAAGGGATGATGCCAGTCCAAATGGCAGCACGTTGAACTCGTACAGTCCTTCCGTCGTAACGAATGCACTTTTTTCGCGTGCATTACTCGTCAATTTTATTTGCCAATATCCCGAAGCAAGATCCAGGGTTGAAAAATACTTCTTTCCCTTGAGGTTCTGGAGAATTGTATCAATCCGCGGCAAGGGATAGCTATCCACTTTTGTGACTTGATTCAATTTTCGATAATCCACGCATAATCTCAATGTGCCGTCCTTTTTCTGTACCAGTACTATGGGAGCGGCCCAACTTGAATGACTGGGTTGAATTATATTTCTTTCCTGAAGATCGGTGAGGATTTGCCTTAGCGCTACTCTCGTTCCCAAAGGAATTGGTCTTGGCTTTTGGCGTATCGGCTGTGATGAGCCTGTGTCAATATCATGCTCTACAAGCGAGGTCTGCGTGAGCTCCTGGTCTGTGATAGCAAACACATCGCTGTTCTTTTCCACTAGCTTTTCCCAAGCCTTGTCCTCACCTTGCTCAGTTTTCTTTTCTCTTAGCAGTTGTAGAAGACGAGCTTTCCTCTCCGGTGGAGGTGTTGTCGTCCGCTCTAGCATATTAGCATAGTGAAGTGGGGCTTCTTCCGCCAATTTGGTCTTTCCCCACTCACCCACTATCTCACCGACCCGGTATATCCTTGGTTCTGTCGATGAATTGGTGACGGGGATCTTCACTGCCCCGTTCGCAGTGTCGCATACTGCATTAGGAACTAAGCTATCGCTAGACCACAAAACTTGTGTTTGTTCGGTCGAGGTGCTTGTCAGTTCCAGTCCTTTAGTTTCGCCAGGCCTGATGTAGACACGTGCGGCTACTTTGGCATGCTGCCCTTCCTTAGCCTTAATGCGTTTCCTGGAATGCTTGTTATTCCATCCTTCGACCCTTTGTTGGTTTGTTCGCTTTCTTGGACACCTGCAGGACTTACCTTCCCTGCAGACCGAGAAGCCGAGTGCGTTTAGGATGTTTGTTCCCAGCACTATCCTGTCATCACCTCCTTTCATGACGAAGAAGGCAGCTCGGCATTGAGGTCCATTGTCTATTTCCAGGGTTAGACGAATCGCACCTTTAAAGGTCATCAAATTGCCTGAAGCATCATAGACTGATGGATATTCCCTCTGCGGGATCTGTTCCACGTCTTTGTCTATGTCGAATCCCCTTTCCTGAGCTGTCAACAGGAGCTCCAGCGGCATGATACTAATCTGAGATCCAGAATCCACTAGTGCCTCCCTTTGCAGCCCAAGAAACTTCACCGTTTCTAGTGTTTGACTGCCTACCAGGTCACTAGCGTTCTTCTTTGCGACTGTTGTACATGCCCAGTGCCGTAGCACAGCAGAGAAAGATCCTGCACCCCGTTCATTCGTGGCATTGTTCTTGCCTCCCTGTGAGACTTCCCTTGAAATTCTGGGAGTATGCTGTATCTGTGAAAGTTCCTTGCAGTCCCTTCTGAAATGTCCGGGCTTTTTGCAGTTGTGGCACAGCAATTCTCGACTCTTCGATACTTCTTGCTGTCCGTTCCGGTTCGGGTTCGACCGTTCTGAGTGGTCCTTATTTCTTTGCTCTATCTCGGGACGAATCGAGTACTTCCTCCCTTGTGGCGTCTGGCGTCCTTTCATCCCGTGGGGAACACCTCTCAACTTATTCGTGGCCTCGTGCTTCAAATGTAGTGCCACTTCCCTACTTCTCTCAATTCGCTGTGCCAGGGCCTTTAGCTTCTCATAAGCCTCCTCCGCAGGAGTCTGTTCTACCTCCGTGTACAGTTGAACGTACTCCGGCCAATCAGTGAGTTGTGCGATCAGCTCTCCAGTGCGCAGAATGGAAAGCTCCCTTTCCGACGATTCGGGGTAGGCTGCCCTTGTCAGCTGTTCTAGCCGAACACAGTACTCTGAGATACTCCCAGAGTAAAGGATGTTTTTGAGGCTAATGTATGCCTCCATCCTGTTGGCAGACTCGTACTTGAATTTGGCTGTTAACGCAGCCACAAATTCTTGGAACGTTCCCTCCCGAACCTCCAGGGGAAGAGTCTCCACCACCACCCGAGGTTGTCCCGATAACTTCGAGCACAACAAGTGGATGAGCATTTCATCCCCCAAGTTTAATCTCCCATATTTGATCATAAAAGAGCGCAGAAATTTGTCAAACCCTTTTCCTTGCCCGTTCTCAAATACTGGGACCTCTGGCAGAGCCATCGCGGTGAACGCGGAACATACTACACTTGTCAACCTCATTCCTACCTTGGCAAATCCTCCTCGACTTCTTGGAGAGGGATTCCGGCAGCTTTGGCGGCTCTCTCGCGGGCTGCTCTCTCTGCAAATGA